TCCCTCTTAGAGTGTCACAGTGCACACTGCCATAAAAGGATTTAAGAACTCTCTCATAAGGAAACCTTGTTTTCAAAATGTTTTGGAGAAAGTATTTTATGGAACACAATTTGGCCAAATCTGATGTAACCAAGTAGTTTACCTAAATCTTTCATACTATGTTCCTAAATGTTGAGGTATAGATATATTCCTTTACAGATCATACATTTTCACTTTAACTTTAATCATTTATTTTCTTATGAACAAAAGGCTTGTGCATCATGATGACTGCTTGGATAGGACACTTTATCCCCTTCTTATCAAGAAGCACTGGCTGTGGACCAGAAAATGCTTTGTTTGTAAAATGTATACAGCTAGGTGAGTGATATCTTTTTTTTTTTTTTTCAATAATTAGGTACTTTTGATATTTCAGTTTTCTGTTTTTGATCTAAGGACTTTTGTACTTAGAGTTATAAAGAATACGAGTTTAGTAGAGAAGTGCCACAAAATCAGTTTAACATGTTAAAACTAGGGTTTTTAAAATAGTAAGGCAATGTATTATCACGTATCCATATAAGTCAAAAAAGAAGGTTGAACTTCAGGGTTGATACAATACTCCTGTCTGTAGTTTACAAAAACAACTTCATTCCACAGCTTCTGAATGAAGAAAATATCATAGCACATCACATACAAGATCAAAATAAAGTTTTATAAAATTTTTCCTTCATGTGGTTCTGCATGTTTATATTATAAAGTGTTTCTTACTGTGGGTCAGAGTCAAAAATATTTGAAAACCACTCAGAGGAAAGGGAAGAATTGAATACAGGTTGAACATCCCAAATCTGAAAATCAGAAATCCAAAACATAAAACTTTTTGAGCCCTAACATGATGCTCAAAGAAAATTTTCATGTGAGCATTTGGGAGTTCAGGTGTTCAATGCGCTATTGGTAGGTATTTAAATAACACAAATATTCTGAAATTTGTAACACTCTGGTCCCAAGCATTTCAGATAAGGGATATTCAACCTCTTAAGTTTGCTTTGATTTCCCCACCACAATATACTTTTCTAACAGATCAGTAGGACAAGATAAATCAAGAGTTATCAGATCAAAATGAAAATAAGGGAATGTTAAAAGTACAGCCCATTGGATGCAGAATTCAAATACACTGGTAAATAGCATTTTCATCTTACTGTGACCAGTAACATCTCAGGCCAAAAACAATCTCAGTTGAATGATGTTGCCCATATTCCCACTTGCATACACTCGGTGTATTGTAATATTTTATCTAGAATTCTAGGTAAACAGTTGGAGTTTTCAAATTGACCAGTACTCATTTACCAGTTAAAAAGATAAATTACGCAAAAGTTTATCAGATCCGTAACATCTAATTATATTAATATTATGGTTTTTCAAGATGGTCTGTTAGAAGGACTGTGTTTTTAAGTTACCTAGAGGATAGATGTCATGGCAAATGTATGATGCTTTCCAGTACAGATTTATAGTCTTCTCTACTTACCTTACTTACCTTTAAGGAGAGGTCTTACAGAGAAGCAGCATTCTGCAGTGTTTCTTAGTGTTAGATGCCCTTTTGCCTTGTAGAGTACTGGTAGTGCTATGTCTGTATATACATAAATACACAAACACACAATTGTATAAAGGCTTGTGTTTTAATATTATAGTCTTAAAAGATAATACTGAGAATGTTACGTTTACATATTACTACATGCAAGTTATAACTTATAGCACGTTAAAGCATGAAAAACTTAATGATGTACATCTTTTTTAAAAACTGCAGATGGGTGACCAACAATGACAGTTTTGCACCGGAGGACCCATGTTTCTTTTGTGATGTTTGCTTCCGAATGCTCCACTATGATTCAGAAGGCAACAAATTGGGAGAATTCCTTGCTTATCCTTATGTTGATCCTGGAACCTTTAATTAAGAATGGCCACATATACACGTACAGAAAAGTGCACCCTTCTGAGATAACTGTTCTCTAGGATGTTTACCTCTAAGAAATGCTAATGAGGACAACGATCCACTTGGAACAATCAGCTAAAGCTACCAAAAAAAAGTTCAAATTGCAGATTTTTCTATAAAGTAACTTGACTGTATTTAAATATTTAGAAATATATTTAATTTAGTACTCTTCCAAAGTATGTTTTTCATTTAGCACTGCTTTTTTACCCATTTTAAGGGGTTATCTTATTGAGTTGTAGAAGTGCTGAATATAAATCCTTTGTCAGATACACACATTCTTTCTCCCAATCCATGGCTTGCCTATTCATTTTCTGTCCAGTGGGGGTTTTTTTTGTTTTTTTTTTTTTTAACTAATGATAGAATTAAATTAATGATACATCAAGTGGTGGAAGCATTTTTGAAAATTCTTTGAAGAATGTGAAAGCTACACCATCTACTATGAGACTTCCAAGGTAAAGATCCTTCAAATATCTGTGATAAAAATTAGGGAGAAGAGTCAAGAGTGAATTATTTAATAGATAATACAAGATTCAGAATAGCTATTGGGTAATTTAATCTTATAGTGGGCTCTTTTGTAATGTTTAGTTTTAATAGGAACTTGGCACATAAGACATTTTAATGAGATTAACTATATGAATAATGAAAATAAAGATCTTGAGTATATATTCATACCTTCACAGACATAACATTTAAACTGAAGCTTCAATTGTTGACAGAAACTTTCTATGAATCATAAATGCTATGAGTTTAAAATATGTCAACTTAATATGATTAAAAAACAGGTTTTAGGCCGGGCGCAGTGGCTCACGCCTGTAATCCTAAACACTCTGGGGAGGCCGAGGCGGGCGGATTGCTCGAGGTCAGGAGTTTGAAACCAGCCTGAGCAAGAGCGAGACCCCGTCTCTACTACAAATAGAAAATTAATTGGCCAACTAATATATATAGAAAAAATAAGCCGGGCATGGTGGTGCATGCCTGTAGTCCCAGCCTCTCAGGAGGCTTAGGCAGGAAGATCGCTTGAGCCCAGGAGTTTGAGGTTGCTGTGAGCTAGGCTGACGCCACAGCACTCACTCTAGCCTGGGCAACAAAAAGCGAGACTTTGTCTCAAAAAAATAAATAAATACATAAATAATAGGTTTTATATGACCATGGGACATGAAAAAAAAAACAAGATCCTACTGATTGCTAGCTCTGGCTCACTTATTCTTAGCTAATACTACTGAATATTCTATAAACAAAGAGAAAAAAAGTAAACACGAGTTTTTCTGGCCCAGCTCTTCCATTCTTCTGGTCCTCTGACTATAATAATCCTTTCATTTTTGGCTCAGAATGAGAGAAAGAGACTAAGTAGCAATTTATTTATTTAAATTGCCAAGTATAGATCCATCAGAGAAAATTGTAGCTATCTATATTGAAATATTTTCTGGAAACTTAGGTAGAAAATGTAATACTGTTTAAGACTTTAAATAATGCTATAAAATAGATTTAAATGCATCATAAATATTTAAGTTTTACTCTTTCTCTCTCCCTCCTAGGTAATATTTAAATTCACCTGAGTTCCACATCTGGATGGCTAAGAACAGACATTAACCAAATAAATAAAAAAAAAATGAAGCCTGTGGGACTATGTGTTTAAAAGACAGTGAAGTTATATGTTTTATGGACTTAAATGCCACATACCAATTAAGTTGATTGGTTTGGAGATGACAAGCCTCTGTTTCTGGTATGTCCAGCATTGTTCTCATTCTCTTGATTCATTCATTTGGTACACAGAGGATCAGTATAGAGAATTAAGAGGACGCTCCAGGGCTGGTTTATAATGCGCCTAAGTTTTTATTTTCCTATGTCTAAGAGTGCTAAAATTGAATAGATTGAAAATTATGCTGGAAAACCATAGATTTAAGATAAATGAATGATATACCCAATTCCGAAAATTCCACAGATAAAATGTATTTTTGATTCCTTATGTTTTTCCTCTAGAGATGGGTGGGGCTTTGCTATGTTGGCCAGGCTGGTCTTGAACTCCTGGCCTCAAGTGATTATCCTACCTCAGTTTCCCAAAATGTTTGGATTACAGGCATGAGCCATCATGCCTGGCTTGATTCCTGTATTAATACCACATTACTTTTAGATCATGAATTAATATGCATAGGTCTATTTGCTTTTATTCATTTTCAATTCATACTCTGAAAACAGCAAATTTTAGAAAATTAATGTCATAATGCATTATTCCATGTGTGCTGCCAATCCACTCATTTTAGTGGACAAAGAAGATACCAGTTAAAACATTGTTTTATTGTTTACTGAAAATGTTAGTTCTTAAGATTTAACCTTTTCACCAAAGTCTTTGGTGAAAAGGTTAACCTTAAGAACTAACCTATGGCTTCCTGGTGAAACTGAGAAGACTAACCAGGTTACTCCCACAATTGTCAGTGTGTTGTGTATCAGTCATACAGATATTCCCAAGTTCAAGTCAAAAGAAATTCCTGACTTTTGTATATTTTGGAGCTATAAAATCTCTGATCCAAGACAGCTTTCTTTATGCCTATTTCAACCTATTAAATACAACATGTTTGCTAAAGCAAATATGAAAATGTCGTTAACTTAACATCCTTTGTAGTTACAAATGAATTTGATTTTGCACTTACACAAAAATCACTATATATAGAAAAGCAATGGGTATTTCCTTAAACATCTTTGTCAGTACCCTTTAAGGATAATTAAACATTTGGGTTTTATTGGGAGAAAGGTCAGTCATCTCTAATGCTATGTGTTACAGGATTACACAACACAAATATAAACACATTTCTACCTATTACACCACTGTTTTTTAATTCCTTGTTGAATGATACAGGTTTGCTATTTCCAATAGATCTTCCTTTCTCTGGCCAATGGGACAAAATATGTTGTTAGTGAAGTCCTCACAGAGCCCTTTAAAAGCCTTTGCTCTTGTATAGGAATTAGATGGCAAACTTCATCTTGACCTGACGTCCAGGTAAGTGTGTGTGGGTAGTAACATACACTTACATTACTGTTATCAGCAAAACAGGGTAAATTTATTGGCGTACTATTTGAATCACTGGATATAATATCAATTATAAGGCTTAAGGTCTCTGATAAAATGATCACACACACAAAGTCCTAATTAGGTTCTGAAATTTTTCCAAGTGGCTGAAAAACCTTCAACAATCTATTCTGCTGGTTCATGTATAACTTATTCTTTAAAATGTTATCCAATGAAGATAAAAAGAAAAAAAAAACAGCACAAAATAGGTGGTGTTTATACATACTTTTTTGGGAGGCTGTTTCATTGAAATGATCACTTAGTGGCTTGTCCAGCTGTGAAGTCTTTGACCAACTATACAATTTAAGTTGAGCCAGTGCTCCTAAAAGTTCTTGATAATCATTCATAAGACTTTTCTTAAAGAGTTATCTGTGAATCAGCCTATGACAAATTGAGGAGGCAACTGTGCTTTAAGTAACATGTCAAGTGGTTATAGAGCAAGGTCAACCTATACAAGCAGACATAAATTATTAGAATGCTGCTTTATATCTCCAGAATATTCTGTGGCTTCTTGGTAGAACTATACATCTCTTGGGTCACAGGGAAAAAGGGGGGAGGAGGGTGAACAAAAGATAAATAACATTTCCTTTATTTTTGCCATATTGAGCATATTGTTTAGTTACCTATCTCCCCAAACAACACAATCTCTAGGTCCAGCTAAATAAGAAATTATTTCGTTGGCAGCAAATCCATAATTCCATCACTTACTCTTATAAATAGCAAAGAAGTAATTTACTAGTAGAGTTTGATAGAAAAATTCTTTAATTGAAACAAGTTTACACGTTGACACTTATGGCTTGCTTAACTAGAAGAAATCTGTTCAAGTTAAAACTGTAGTAAGGACCAAACAGATAATGACTGGTATATAGGGGGGTTCTCTCAAAACAGTGGGTCCTAGTCCCACTGTAGGACCTCTCGAAAGCAAAAATCCAATTATTGAAATAATTCAAATTTTTACTCTATAGATGAAAACAGTTGTCCTAGATGTCAAACCATGCAGTGTTACACACAAAGTGTTATTTTCCCATACTCATACAGTTTCAAAACATGAGAAGTATCCTTTTCTATCAAAAACCACCAAATGACCTAATATTTAAAATATCTTAGAAATATTATACTTTAGTAAATACACCCTTAAATTTTGTTAACATTGGTTTCACCCTGATTTAGTCTATATACATCAATATACAGACCATCTCAAAGTACCAAGCTGGAGCAACTAATGTTGTATGATATAGAAATGAAAATAAAAATTCCCCTCAATATAGCCATGTTTTCAAATAGGTTAGTTTCCTTATATAGCATTTACTTATATTTACTGCATAAGCATCACGGATTGACTTTTTTCCAATTAAAAAAATACTTATGACTTCCTTAATGAGTATTAAGAAAACTTAGAAATGAGACATTTCTCAAAAATAGGCTTATTTATAGTTTTCAGTTTTAGTTACTAATGCCTGTAAAGGATCTTAGATGATTGAACCCTAAAGCCAGATTCATTCCTATATATACCCAGTCTGTTCTCTGCAGGGAAGTCATATGACTTCCCTGAATTCCTAGCCACAAAAGTAAATTACCTTCAAAAGTTAACATGAGTTTTACATGTTAACACCTCATAGAATTGTCAGTTCAACATCTTATCTAGGTTGGCATACAAAAAGGCATACAGAACACACATTGTTTCAAAGAAGCAGGATAGTGCAGCACAATGTAGACTGAGATTAAAATTAGCTTTTGATAAAAGGAGGGAGTACTTAGATTAGAAGTAACATTTTATCTACCATAAAAATGCTTAACTTCTACAAAACCCACAAATAGTGGAAAGACAGTCTGGTAAATCCAAGATTTGTAAAAATATGCACAAAACCCATGGTATTTGGGAAAAGAGGAAAGGTTTATACAAGTTGCAGTTTTAAAAATGTAACTGTGTTCTACTATCAATTACACATTAACACACACACACAAACTGAAAATATGCTACAACCATGTCTGGGAAAGCAGTTTAACATTCTCTTATAGGGATTCTGCTCCACATTTACTGTATAACATAGCTGTTAATACTGCACAAGTACAATTAGCAATAATGTTTAATTACTTTCGAACAAGGATAAAGGGATTTTCATCCCTCAAAACAAGTTTTAAACATCAAAACCTATACTTATAAAAATTTAAAACTTTCAGCAGTCTAAATATTTCAAATGAAACCCATTACAAACTTTGCAAATGTTTTCTATAATTCCAGGTATGTCAACCTAGTTATCTAGTGTAGAATCCTTCAGAGATATTTCAGTCTCTTTCTCTTCACTGGATGGCCTAAAGAAAAGTGGAAAAGAAACCCTGGGATTAGGGTTTTCTGATTAGAATAAATGAGACATTAAATATATGCATTATTACATTTTTAAAAAAAGACTGAAACAAACAAAACCTGACTTGTTATTAAGACACTGTCATTATTTCTTATTCAAACTTTGTTTTGCCATGTTGTATCTTCTGAAAGTATTATGCAGATCAAGCCAAGTACTCAGGGAAGCATAATGGACCAAACCCTCTCCAGCTTTAAACTGAATTATCTTTAAAGAATATGGAATGTTTTATCTGTGATATCAACATGTTACAAATCTTAATAAAAAGAGGGTAAGATCTACTTAAAATGACAAGACTTCCCTTAAAGGGATGTTCGATTCCTAGTTCTACAAATGGACAGTGGAACAAACTAAGACCTGGATAACTACAGTTCCATAGCTTATTATTTTAGGGTAAGTGGTATAAAACAGCCTGTGATTCTACATCTATTTTTTAACATATTCTGTCACTCAAAATTCAAAGAAGTATGACAGCAAGTTATTAATGGTGTATTAGTAAAGAAGTCTGAGGAAAAATAGTTATTTTTTTTAACTGGGTTCCCACCTGGCCCCAGTGACAGATTAGTTGTATACAAAGTTTTTTACTTTTCCCTTTTTGATTTGCAACTTGCTTACTGAATTCAAGAATTGACTGATCAAAAGATAACCCCTTATACAAACAACCTTGCAACAGTACTGTAATTAACAACCTGAATTCAGGAAAAACACGCAAAACGACCCATAAAAACACCTCCTCACTTTTTCTTAGTGCTGGCCTCGTAGTTGTCTTTGCTTTCTTCATTGCTATCTCCATTATGTTGTGGCTGATTACTATCTTGAGCATCAGATCCTCCATTTAGCGTCTTTGAACCTTTAGAAGTATTCCAATGAAAAACTGTTAGAGCTAACAAAATAACTTTAAGTTGTCCTCTAAAGATCCAAAATCAAAAATGCAACATGGCCCTCATGTTCCTAATACCGTCTTTTATTTGAAATTTTGTTGTAATATAGTCCTCTCTTGAATTTTAGGATTGGGCTTTGATGCTATTTCAAATAAAAAAGGGAATAATGATTCCATTAAAAAGTTGTAGTGTCTACTCCTAATGTCACCAGAACCCTCTGGGTACCGGAAGTAAATTAATAATTTGATTATTCCATTTGTTACTATAATCAAGAACACTACAGTGTGCTGCTACACAGCTTTTTAGCACATCATGGTTTATTCTACTTAGAAAAAACAATGTGAAGTGTTAAGTCATATTTCCTAATTGATATGATTTTTGTGCCTAGTAAGTAAACAATGGGGGGGGTTCTCCTGTAAATTTCATCCCCTAATAAATGAGAGCAAAAAAATAGCCAACTGCTTCTGAAATGTTGGTTTCTACCTTAAGCAGCTGCCACTCAGATGTTTAGTAACTTGGAATTTGGGGAGCTGTTAATGGTACTATGATTCTATTTTGATAGTCCTTTATATAAGAAATACATTCTGGAATTTGCTGTAAAATAACCTTGGAGTGGCACAGAGAAAGCTTATGGGGTACAAAACCACAATGATCACGCATTGGTAATTGCTGAAGCTGGCTGATGGGGATGTGGGAAGTTCATTTCTATTTTAGTGTAGGTTAGAAATTTTTCATGTACATAAAAAGAAAAAAACTATCCTTAGTAGTATAATAAATACCAACAGGATTTAACTATTACTAATTAAAATGTAATGAAAAAGAAAAGCAGAAGCTAAGGTTGAGCACTTTACTACATATGCTACACATTCTGCCAAATGTTTTATATGACTTTCCTCATTTAATATAGGTATGGTAATGCATGGGACCAGAAGTGTTTTGGATTTGGAGATATTTACATATGTATGATCTTAAGGATGGGACCTATGTCTAAACATGAAATTCATTTATATCATACACACATAGCCTAAAGGTAGTTTTTATATAATATTTTTAATAATTTAGGGCATGAAACCAAATGTATGTATACTGAAAGAAAACAAAGGTATCATTATCTCGCCACCCATGTGGACAATATGTGGTGGTTTGGTATCACCATCATTTCTGACTGAATGTATATGCAACTAATAAGCAATCATTTTCTTATACTTATCCAAACATTAAACACTTAACAGTAAAAAACATGACATGCCATTAATGCAGTGAAAACATGTGTTCAGGGTAACTTAACAGCACAGTAGCATCACCAGCATACCTGTATCAGTTGTTAAACAGCAACAACAATGACGGGCTTTCAGTCTCCACTACAGTGCTGTGTTTAACTGAAAAAGTTACTGTACACTATTTTATTTTTTTAGGTGAGAAGAAACATCAGTAGTTGAGGGACCAGGAAGCAGGTCCTCGAGAGATGAGGAGACACTGTGCTGAATAACTTTTTGAAATGTTTCCTCCAGAGTCATCTGCCTCATTAACAATGGTGCTGTCTTAGAAGTCTCTCTTTGATTTTATAAACTGACATGATTTATTTTTCTGTTATGAATACATGCTGTAGGCCTTCAATAAGCCTGTCACATTTTTACCAAGCTGTCTATAGGCACTTTTTCTGCAGTGTTAAAATGAAATTATTTATCAAACCCATTTTTTAAAAGCACTTCTGGCAAACAGTTAAAAAACTGGCCTCAATTTTTTTTTTTTTTTAAACACATACCTGTTTGTTCCTTTTCTAGCTTTTTGTTTGGCCCTTTCTTCCCTTGATCTTTGGTTTTATTTGCTTCCTCATGCTGTCTTTGTTCAGCAAGAGATTTATTCAGCACTTGTGTGATCACGGAATCTCCTTCACCAACCAAAAACATGTTCTTAAACTTGTTATACAACATTGTAGACTTTTCCATGATAACCTGACTAACTTTGAATCGCCGTATCTGAGAAAACAATATACATTCATAATTGTTTTCCTAATTAATTCTTATATTTAAACTTTATTTTTAAATGAAGTAATGAGAAAAAATTTTAAATCTAGGTAATGTGAAATCACTTACTTTTTTCAGGGTAGTAATCATCTCTGTGTGTTTTTGAGCTTGTTGCATTGTGACCTGAAGTGAAGCAAGTTCATCCAAGGCCTCAATGCATCTGTTCACGTCCTTCATGACAAAACAGTAATTTCATAACTGTTAATTATCACAACATATATAATCTGTTTCTAAAGATCACTTTTAAAACTCTCAAGTAAGGCAATACTAAATAACCAGTAATTGTCCCTTTTATCTTAAATTTACATACTTATAAAAATGTGAGAAAATAAAACATGAAGCTATAAGAGCAGCACTATATTTTTAAATGACATTGAACACTTACAAGATTATCAATTTTGAGTGAATTTTTAATCTCAGCATGTATCCTTTGAAGTCGAGAATCCATTGATGTTTCTATAAATTAAAATATGTGAAAAACATTAAATAGTTTTTCCAAAACCAGTATTTCTGTATCATCTAAGCAAAGTATAATGAAAAGAACTGATGGATTAAAACAAAAAGTTCTTCATAGTCTTCACTAAGAAGCTCATATACAGGAACAATAGGTTTCTTAACAAAGAAGTTATTGCCATCCTTAGTATTTGGTTGAGGAAAGCAATATTCAGCATAAAAGGACAAAATCACCATCTAGCTGCATTTCTTTCTACAGTGAATAGTCTGTATTCAATAATGAACTCTAACACTCCATTCCCTAAATACCTGGTTTCCTTACTTGTTTAACCAAGGGATTTGTCAATATGGGAAAGCATCCAGCAGCTTTTTTAGCAAGGTTACAAAAATTTGACATCATCAAATAATGAGCATTAAAATATAAAAACAACTCTAACAAGTTCACCTGGTTATGCTTAAAATACAATGCAATTTATGAGATCCATTAGAGATTTGCAAATGTGTATTTGCAGGATATAAGAACACAAAATGAGACTGACTGCAAAACCAATACATGAAAAGTGTCTATATAAATTGCCTTTATATGTATAATTTTATACAGCTTAGAAAGTGAAATAACTAACCTCGCTTCTTCTCCACTTTCTTAACTTCTGGCTTCTTTCCTTCATCTTTAGTCTGCCTATCAAATGTTAACACAAATATTTCAAAACATTGGAACTTTGTGACTATGATTACCAAATGCCCACAATCCCTCATGTAAAAGCTAAAAGTTTTTTCCTTAAAATAATAAATTCTTAGCCTAGACCACAAGGAATTGACTGTTCTTAGAACAGGGCAGTTCCACAGCACTAGCACAAATATAAGCAAAGCTCATATTAACATGCTAAATTAAATCAAACAATTTTTTTCAGTGACATCACAAATAGAATGATTTTAAAGCTGCCTTGGTGAAATTCTCTTTCCAACATTAAAATATTTTTTGGCCAATATATCAAACTTAAATGACATCCACTAACATTTACTACCATTTCACAAATGAAAAGGTACCATTTTAATGTTGATCACAAAAATAACCACTTAAAATTAAAATCTTAATAATTTCTAGTACCTTGGCTTGGAGTTCAGGCCATATTATGAACCAATTGAAATAGACAAGAACAAAAAATATCTAAAAATCAGGTATTTTTTTTAAAAAACTTTATTTTAAAATTTTGGTTACAGTTTCATTTTTTTCTTAACAAGTCTACTATTTAATCTCTCAGGATAAAAAAACAATTAAGATTCTAAAGAAACAACAAAGGAATGTCAAGGGAAGGGCACAACTGCCCCATTTTCAGGGGCATAGTTGCTATTCCAGTTTAATACCTAGCTTCAAAACAAAATGTATTTTTATATTTTCTAAATGAAATAACGTTACAACCACCACCACCTTCTGAGCTTGTTATAACTTTCAGACACAAAGCTTCATTTTAAGCTTGGTAAAAAAACAGGAATGATGGCCAACTTTAGTATGTAGTGTGTACCTTACAGGAGATTTTGTTAACAATCATAACACAGTAATAATGCCATTAATAATAAAGTCCTCAATTTAGAATCTGGAACATTCTTCCATCAAGGGGGGGGAGGGGGTAATTCAGTCCAATGAGTCTGTCTCAACATCTTCATCTCTTGTTTGCTCCACTTGTATTCTCTTTTCAGTAACTGGATTAATGCTTTGAGCCCAAAATGAGATATATTTTTTATTACTGTAGATTACATGTTGTTTGGCTGGGAATACAATACAATAAACTTTATTTTGCATAATGCATTTCACACAAGCTGCATCTGAAATGCTTTACAGAGCAAAACTGTCCAAGTACAAAGTTTTGTAATAACAGGAGAAGGAAAGAAAACACAAATATTAGAATTTGAGAAAGTTACATTGGAGGACATTCAAAAGAAACTGAAATACATAAAGGTAACTTGAGATACTGAAGAAGGGCTGGGCTAGATTTACTAAGCAACAACTAAAGTTCTATCTTAATTTGGGGAGCACAATAAAGTTAAAAGCAATAAACAGTCCAACAACTTTTCAGTGAAAAGATAGAAAAGAATAGATAGGTGACAAAAAATAACTTAAATATTTACAGAAGTGTTCAAAGTCCAACAGATTAGCGGGAGTAACATTTCAAAGCTTTAGATCATTTTTTAATTACTCCCTCAAGCAGCTAAAACTGCTTTTATATATCCTCCGAACTACTAAGAGTCCAATGCTATACTTGTAAAGAAAGATTTTTGGCTTATGAATGTACTATATAAAGAAAATAAGCATGAAATCATTCAAAAAGTTTAGAATTTCAGTGCTCATCATTAACTTTGTCTTAGTGACCTAGAGCATGTTTTGTAAATCACCTCTTTAAAATAATAAAACAAATTTAGTCAGAATGTAAGCCTCTTCAGAAGGAAAGAAAAGCATTTCAGAGAAAGAACTCAGAAGTGACAAGTCTAAAGATAACTAGGAAAACAAAAGTAAAAGACATGAAGTCTATTCATTATCATTGCTATTACTTTTCCTTCTAGTAATAAAATTATTTTATATAATAAAGGGGAAAGAAATACCCCATGGCAAGTACTGTCACCAAGTATCAAAACTTAAGAGAAAACAGCTTTGAAACTGACTTATACTGCACACATACAATGTACACCCTGTCAGCCTTTAGATTTACTTTTACAGGCTTCCTGGGTTTCCAAATGTGCTTTTGTTCTTTTTGCTGGTCTTTAAGGGGAGGCCTGCTGGTGGTATGACAAAATAAGGGTATTTCCCCACATTCTTTCTCCACCAATATATTATCACCATTTTTCTATATGTAATATATTACACAAATAAATAGTAGAGGATGAGTACATTTCCTAGAAAGCCACTAACAGTTAGATCCTATCTGTACTTTCAGTTTAAATTGAAAAATAATTCACAGGGTGATTGCCTCAGTGAATTTCATCCTCTCAGAAAAGAATGAAGCCTGAAATATGATTATCATCATATGCTGAAGATTTTTCTAACACATGGGAAAAGTCACTTCTTCAAAAGGCTTCATGAAGTCTGGAAAATGAAAGTCTATTGTTTAAAAATTTCATGCTAGCCTTAACAAAGAACCCAAAATTTAGAATAAAAAAATACTTACTGCTCAGTTTCCATTTGTTCCTCTTGCTTGCGTTTCCGATCTGCTGCTTCTTTCTCATGTTGGCCTTTCAGCATATTCCTTCTATGAGCAGTTTGAAAGTTTCTCCCACCCTTTCTCTTCTGTTTTATTTGAGAATTAGGATGGATTTAGTTAACTATGAAGTCAGTGACTGGTGCTTATATAAATATAATCTTGGGAAGAAAGCAACTAGTTTAATACCTAAATGAACTACTTAAAAAAAAAAATCCTTGAATTACATCTCTGCTCTGCAAATGTAACTTTTCCCTTGATGACTGTAGATTAATAATGTTTTCTCCCGTGCTGTAGGAATGATGTCCTTTGGTTAAAATGACATTTCAGGCTATTTTGCCTCTACACAGTGATTGGACTAGAGTACTGACAAGCAACACTACTCATCGTATTTAAGATTTTTGGCTTCTAAAATATTAAGTAGCAAAAAAGTCAGATAAAAAGAAATAAAAGATCTGCATGATACCTAGATCTGTACATCTCTAAAGCTATACATAAAATTTGTAGGTTTTCTACATAAAAATAAGATACACAGCTTTAATAAGATTTTCAAACTATGGCATCCAAATAAAGTTACTACTGATAAATGTACAATAAGGTTGGGCACGGTGGCTCATGGCTCTGTTTCCCTGAAAATAAGACAGGGTCTTGTATTTATTTTTCCTCAAGACACCCTAGGGCTTATTTTCAGGGAATATGTTATTTTCCCCTCAAAGCCTCAGCTTGCAGCACGCACGATGTCCAGGACCTGACGGGGAGCCAACCTTGGTGGAGCTGCCCGAACCTTCCTGGTCACCTCTGGGATAGTAGCTGTCAAGATAGGGCAGATGAGAAGGGCTGCTCATCTTTTACCGCTCTGCGACGAAATGCATGGGTTGTACAGATGTGCTGCGTAGCCACGCCCATCACTAGGTCTTATTTTCAGAGTACGGCTTATATTGTGCAAATGCTTAGAAATCCTGCTAGGGCTTATTTAATGTGTAGGTCTTATTTTTGGGGAAATGCAGTATAACCCTAGCACTCTGGGAGGCCAAAGTGGGCAGATCACTCAAGGTCAGGAGTTTGAAACCAGCCTGAGCAAGAGCAAGACCCCGTCTCTAGTAAAAATAGAAATTAATTGCCAACTAAAAATATATAGAAAAAATTAGGCGCGCATGGCGGTGCACGCCTGTAGTCTCAGCTACTCGGGAGGCTGAGGCAGGATTGCTTGAACCCAGGAGTTTGAGGTTGCTGTGAGCTAGGCTGATTACCATGGCACTCTAGCCTGGGCAAGAGTGAGACTGTGTCTCAAAAAAAAAAAAATGTGTACAATAAATAGGGCCCAAAGAGTGATAAAAATTTCTTTGGGAGTAAATAAGAAAAATTTTTATAGACTACATTTTTTTTACATTTGTCTTCACTGGTCACAGCCTATCTGTCTTTCTCCTACCATTTCTAGATAGGTGCGGTTACTGGGGTTATATAAATTAAATATATATTTCCAGATCATAATTGTAAAAAGGTAAGATGAATTTAGACTACACAATAAAGGAAAGTTTCAAATATGCTTTTTAACATAGCTAATTCAAGTATATTCTAAAAGTAAAGAAATTCAGTTGAAGACTTTCACAAAAAATATTGAAAGCTTACTAGGTAGATTAAGAACTACATAGAAACTTAAAGCATTTTATGTAACACATAAATTTCCTACCTTTTCACCTTCTTGATCATCTCCTTCTTCTTCAGAATCAGAGGTTGATGTAACCCCTGTTTTAACTAAATTTTTCCTTTTTGATTCAACTTCTTTCTTCCCCTCTTTTTTGTCTGGCTCTTTTCTTGGTTTATCTTCTTCCTTCTGGCCCTCTTCATCCTTTTTAAGCTGCTTTTTAGGTTGTTTTTCCTCTTGCCCTTTTTTCTTACTTTTATCTTCTTCAGTAATCCTATTTTAGAGAGTCCAACAATGGAAAATGAGCTTTTATGTATCATTAATATACTTGTCATTCAACTATACTCTCCTAGTCAACTGATTATTTTAGATAGCAATAAGCTGTAATTCATTTTTTAAAGGCAAATCTAAAACATCTTTAAGTAAAATGGAGCATCTTAACCATCCAATCAAAAAAGGAATTCTGTAACAGAACATACTTTTCGTATAAATTAGAAGATATAAAATTATAGTGCTATTAGGTTAACAGAAAGTGATTTTCTCTGTTTTTCAAGTTTTTTTATAATATGATTCATTTGGTCAAAAAAAATCTATGTGCCAAGGCACTTTTCTTGATTCTGGGGATACAGCAGTGTAATAATGTGGGCAAGTCTACATATCTGTAAGAATACATTATGTTTAAAAAGTGGACACACTGGGGAAAACAGAACTGCAGAAGTGAAATCATTCTAGAACTCAAAGAAATATTCTTTGCAGGGTAAAAGGGTCCCAACTTAAGCATATAATGGTAAATATATAGCCAATAAAGCATAATGTGAGAGAGTGCTTAACTGACTAGCACCTAAGTTCCCATCATCACTGGATTTCACAGACTTTAAAACAAATCAAACTACCTAAATTGTTCAATAATGATAATTACTGCTGGATATTTATGCAAATTAGTACTGTAGAAATAGGCTCCAAAAGAAGAATCAAATGATGCAAATGCTAATCACATAATTACTTTTGTAGCATATGTTTAACTAAAGTAATTCCTTTATAAAGAAATACTTCAACTTGAACAAACTGGTTAAAACTATAACCTTTTTATTATCCATATGGCATTTCATTGGGATTTTCACAAATTATGCAATTAAGTCAATGAATTTGAGAGCTGGAAAGCACTTCATATCATTTAGTCCTAACTCCTATTTGACAACTGAGAAAATGATGTGGCACAAGGTTAAATTAAGTAAGCTCAGTATCTTAATTCCAGATCCACCGACCTCCTTCCAGACAAGTGTTTCCTTGAATGTTTAAGAGACTATAAAGTTAGAAGAGAAAAATTTAGTTTTTGCCTCTTTAGAAATTTTTGTCACATAATTATCACTGAGTATGCTTATTTTCTAATGTCATCTGTGCTTCATCCTTTACTTTTAATAAATGAAAGAAAAAGCACACATGTAAGATAATTTTTTTTTTTTTTTTTGAGACAGAGTCTCGCTTTGTTGCCCAGGCTAGAGTGAGTGCGTGCCGTGGCGTCAGCCTAGCTCACAGCAACCTCAAACTCCTGGGCTCGAGTGATCCTTCTGCCTCAGCCTCCCGGGTAGCTGGGACTACAGGCATGCGCCACCATGCCCGGCTAATTTTATATATATATATCAGTTGGCCCATTAATTTCTTTCTATTTATAGTAGAGACGGGGTCTCGCTCTTGCTCAGGCTGGTTTTGAACTCCTGACCTTGAGCAATCCGCCTGCCTCGGCCTCCCAAGAGCTAGGATTACAGGCGTGAGCCACAGCGCCCGGCCTTAAAAATGAGAATAGTCTAAAATAAAAAGCATTTCCGTGGCTCTTATTCAATCAATACTGATTACTTTCCCCAAAATGTTAGCTCTATATGGAAGGAAATAGCTATTTAAAATGCAAATACCCTCTAACCCAGGAAATCTCCTTCTACCAACATATCTTAACCAATATGTTTACACATGTACAAAACAGATGACAATGTTTTTAACTTTTTTTAAGAAACAAGGTCTTGCTCTGTCACTCAGGCTGGAGTACAGTGGCACAATTATAGCTCACCACATCGTGGAACTCCTGAGCTTAAGTAAAGTGATCCCCTCCTGCCTTAGTCTCCCCAAATGCTGGGATTACAAGCATGAGCCAGTGCACCCAGCCCAACAGCTAGTTTTCAAAAAGTGATTTTAAGCATAAATTTCAAAAATCTATCTTAAGGTCCTAAGAAAAGGGTTTATTATTTAAAGGTTTCTTGAGGAGTATCAAAACAAAGAGTTCTCATGAACATAATTATTGCTATTTGCGACAAATGAGTCTTTCCCCAGTGGTCCCTACCACCTACCTTCCATGACATACAAACTTTTGCTAATTTCCCTTTTTAGTAGGTCAAGGATCATTATTAAAGTTGTATCTGTAAATTTCTCTAGTCTTTTAATATATATTAACATAAGCAAAGACAAGTACAAACACAACCCCAAATACCTCAGTGGCTTATAACATATTTCTCACTTTACATGAGGATTTTGAGTTGGTTTCAGCTCTTCTGGCTTCTAATCTACTGTCTTGCCATTTCAGTACCCATTGCAGTCACTAACAGATATGTGCTGTTCTCATGGTGAAGAGCTCTCTACTCCACTCTGTGTGTGCTCAGACACACAGCCAAGACTAGCTACAGCCAACACCCGTCCTGCCACACAACACGAATAAGAAATAAATATTGTAAGCTACTTACTGCTACTTTAGGGTTGTCTACTGCCTCAGCCAAAAGCTCATAAATAGAGAAAATACCAGAAACAAAAACCTAAAACATATGTCAATAGCTTTGTGGCTTGGAAATTGGAAACCCTAATATGTTATTACACAACGGGTAAAATTGGTGAACTGTTACAATGTGAAAGAAAAATGAATTCAGTGAACTTGTGGCTTGAGAGATATTCAAGATAGAACACTGTTGTAATTGAGTTGACTGTTACCAAGATAAATTAGTAAGTATTCAAAAGTAAGAGATGAGTTTTAAAAACTATAGCCTATTTTCAAGTAAGGATGTAGGAATTTCAAACTGAGACACAGCCTGGGGTCATACATCCAATCAAGGGTACAACTGCCAGCCTTAGGAATTCAAACTGGGCTGCCTTAATCCTTCAGATGGACAAATGATTCCTGAGGGATGGTTTTTCTCAGAAAAACCTATAAAGCTCAAAGTGTCTGTAATAAGTATAAGAAGATACACATGTCTGAGCAAGTCTTATGAATGAGACCACTGCACAGGAAGCTGACTAGAAGTAAACACACACAATAAAGTACTGTATTATCAAAAGTAACATCAGACTGCATCAAGAGAAAGTTCTAAAAAGGAACATTGGGCCCCCAAATCCCTATGGTCTGAAAGCAGGTTGAGAAAGCTGCTCAGAAGGAGGGCATATTTTCTAATAACCATTTCAGAATGCAACGAAGGATGATACTGAAAAGGTAGAGAATTTCCAGAGCAATCAGCCAAAAGCCATGGAAACCAATGAATTGGGAAGAGTACTCTCAAGAAAAACTGGGGCCTAATCAGGGGACATTCATTATATCCAGAATAGGGGGAATCTCACAATATTTTCCAGGCAGAATTTCAGACTTTCTGGGGAACAATGATTGCAAACAAACTCATATGCAAGTACCTGATTTATTTTCACTACAATTGTTAAACTGTGTTGTATTTTGTGCCACTATTTTTTAATCAACAAGTAAATTTTAAATGTATATATGGTATACAACACAATGTTTTGATACAAAGTACATATTGTGGAATGGCTAAATCAAACTATTTAGCATATGTGTTACCTCAAACATATTTATTTTATTGTGAGAACCCTGAATATCTACTCCTAGTAATTTTCAAGTACACAATGTACTATTATGTGCCACTTTTTTTGAGAGTACTTTTAACAGCTAGGTTGGCAGTAAAATAAAACTCTTTACATATATTTTGGTTAGAAAGTACCAACTCTCCAATAGTGTTCTGTAAGTAAAATTTTCTATAATCATTTTATTCACAACTTTGTAAATCTATTCTTAATGAACATACCTCATATGAGCCTTTAAAATCTTTAAAGGTAATAATCACAAAAAGTTTCCCCTTTGTCTGACTATACATTCCTTTCGGTGAAGTTTACTCAAAAAGCCTAAATAAAAGGGATCCATATGTGGGGGAAAAAGTGGCAAGAGAATTTTTAAAAAATGAAAAACATTTTTTTAAGTAGTTATTCTAAAATACTTCACGCTGGATCTTAGCCAAAAGGCCAAGAAGCCATCTAAAATACTTTAAAATGCTCAATTTACATTAAAAAATAATTTAGTCCTGTTTTTAAATAAAGCACCCCACCCTGGAGGAACTAAAATTTTGTGAACATTGCTTCAAATATCCAAAAAAAATGTCTTAATGAAATGATAACCACATATTTTTCTCGATTCCCTATCATTTTTTCTTTTTTACAAAATTTTTCCAGCTTTTTCCATAATTTTTAGAAATATCAAAATAGTAACAGCAATAAATATCCTGTAAAATAAGAAAAAAACTGGCAAAAATGCAAGAAGATATATGCTTGTTTAATGTCAAATGCCTCATTAATTGCATAACGAATTACACATTAAAAATAAACTCACATGTCACTCTCTGAAGGACAGGGCTGTTTCACCATTTTAGGTCTGCCTCTTGGTTTTGGAATCTTGACTTCCGTAGCTAATATTCACATGGGGAAAAAATATCAGCAATTACTGGTTTCCCTTTAAGATGCAAATTTCATGTAAAGATTACAAATGATATGCACTATTTAAGAGTATTAGAGGCTTATTACAGATGCAATTATTTAAAATTTAAAAACTAATACCTCTCCCGTGGTTCAAATAAGCAATAGCGAAAAATTTAAAGAGCTAGAACAGAGTAATTTTCAATTTGTCCTTAGTATGGCTGAGAGGGCTTAAAAACATTTTTCATTGTTATTTTAATAGGAATGCCACAAAATTCAACTTTAGAATATAAAGTAGCACTTACATTCAATATTCATTTAGATATTATAAGTACATTTACACACATATCTTTGGAAGTTTTCACCAGATTCACCAAGTTTCCTAACACCATTAATTTGATCTACTATGACAAATTTAATTCTAAAATATTATGTAAATAAATTCTCAATTCTCTTTGTTTTCTGGGTATTACCCCACATTTCAAGAAGAATTCTATTATGAAGTAGGAAAAAAAAACTGGCTAGTTTTGGTTAGTTTTCTTTGTATGAGGAAGAGCCTTCCAAAATATTTCCAATTTGCCAAATTAATACTTTAAACAGGCAATGCTAGAGAGACCTGCATATCGTAAATATCCTTATAAACAAAGAATGTAGTAATTTAAAATATTAATGACTTTAATCAATCAAATGCTACTCCTCATTCTTTCATTATGACTCCATTTAGAAAGCTTATGCCTCATGAGAGGTAAAATAAATCCACTGTTGACAGTAAATTTAACTTCACCACAGCCTAATCTGCCACTATTTAGGGAAAATATAATGGGGATCAAACAATGTGAAAAAGTGACACACACTTATTTCAAATTTAAATACTTTATTTCACCAAGCAGAAACCATAAAGTTTATGTCCCTTGAAATTTGTATGTTACACATAATGAACTGCCTGTGCACTTCATACTAAAATACTTGAGGGAGCAACTCCTTAATGGATTAAAATATTAATCACAAGCCAAAAAATATTTAAACACCATTAATCCTACCTGCAGGTCGTCCTCTTTTAGGGCTCACTTTTAGATTAACAGATGCTGTTGCTGTTGTCACTACTCCTGCCTCCTCAGTTTCTACTTGTTTTTCTGCCTGAATTACAAAGACTTAATTTATTTAAGCAAGTAATAGGCACTTAAAGTTTAACTCAATGACAAAAATATGCCAGTCTATAACATGAATTCAAGTATAAGCACAACTTCTACATGATCTTTATTACCATTCAACAATAGACTCATCAGAGTAACATCCTCAAAGTTAGTTTATAATTCTAGTGAACAATTCTTAAAAAAATTCACTTTTTAAAAATTCTCCATCTAAAAAGGTCATTTGTAAAAGTAATATTCTTGATGAAACATTGGAATGAAAGTATAATGCAATTATGCTGTAACAACTCACATTGCTATTTCTAATTTTATAACTTTGTTAATATATACATGTTATATTTCCAAACTGAGACTGATTGATATCTGATGTTCTTCCCTAAGAGTTATTCTTATTTTCCATAAAGAGGCATTTATTTACCACAGTAGAGTAAGGAATCTCAATGACCATTTGCAAACATAATGCCCTCCGATAACTCTATATGACTCTCCTGAAGGGAGCCAATGGCCCCAAATGAGAATCAGTATTACTGATTTAAGCATTAGAGTAGAACAAAGGTTAAGAACCACAAATTAAAAAGGAAATTGCCAACACGAGGCAGTATTTTGTACTGATCATAGTTGCAAAGAGAAGATGGAAACTCAAAGAGAGACCAAAGAGGATGGGCAAGACCAATAAAAGCTACTTCTCCACTCCCCAACTACTTAGAATTCAGCATTAACTGTATCAACAAAAAAGGGAAAACATTCAAAAATATGTACAATCCAAATTCAGTGATAAAAAATTAAAAACTGCTTTTTATCAATGATCTGATTTGCAAATTTAATGCCCAGTGTTGGTAAGGATGTGGAAAATCATTCATACATTGACTGTTGATGATTCAATAATGATACCAATAAACTGATATTTTCTGAAAGAGTATCATTATGAACGAATACTGGCAATAAAAAAAATGTGCAAATCTCTGATTTGGTAATTTCACTTCTAAGAATTTATCCATTTTTTAAACATTATTATTGCTTTTATAATTGGAACATAATGCATATTCAAAGTATTAAAATTCATCTAAGATAACCCTTAAACTGTTCTCAGAGAACACTACAAAATTTCATCCTTAAACATTAATTCAGATTTTATTTCTAAAAGTTTAAGAACTTACAGACCATCTAGCCCTGCCCTAATCCTGACTGGATAGGTAAGGGAACCAGGCATCTGTGTTTTTATAAAGTTCTCCAGATACTAAAGGTTAAGAACCCAAGGCAGAAGTTCTCTTAATTTCAGTTCAAACTGAATGGTGCAAAAAAACTCAAAACAAAACCAAAAAACCTCTCTTCACCTATACTTTCTGCTTTTGAAAATAAGACATTGAATAAAAATTACAGGTAGAATGGATGTTACTGAGGAAGTACCCTAATAGAATAAAAATGTATTAATACTAAGCAAGAGATCAGCCCTACCATGGAAGTGTGTTCACAACTGTTATAGCAAAATCACACAAATCAAAACAATTCCTCATGAAAATAAAATCAAAGATATATTTTCTCTAGGGAAAAGACTAAGCTGTATGAAATATACACGTATTCATCTTAAATGCAAATATTCTAAACTCTGACTACAGATTCATTTCTTCCATATTTTACTTCTCACTGAGACCTCTAACCCTTTGAGGCATTTTCTCCCATTACCAACTCTGTAGCTGTAGCTCTACTATTTATTTTCCCTGATCTTTTTTTTTGAGACAGAATTTCACTCTTGCCTGGGCTAGAGTGCCGTGGCATCCCACGAGCTCACAGCAACCTCAAACTCCTGGGCTCAAGCGATCCTTCTGCCTCAGCCTCCCGAGTAGCTGGGACTACAGGCATGTGCCACCATGCCCGGCTAATTTTTTCTATATATTTTTAGTTGGCCAATTAATTTCTTTCTATTTTTAGTAGAGATGGGGTCTTGCTCTTGCTCAGGCTGGTTTCGAACTCCTGACCTTGAGCAATCCTCCCACCTTGGCCTCCCAGAGTGCTAGGATTACAGGCATGAGCCACCACAGCGCCACTTTCCCTGATCTTACCTAAAGCCACCTTCCTACACACAAAAACTTCATGAGACACCTATTCAAATGCATTCTCAAGCCCTTTGCATCCTTGTTTTGCTGTATCTGTCCCACAAATCACAAACAGAGGATCATTATTCAAATTCTACCTTCTCTGTTTTATTATTCCCAGCTGCTGAGCCCTGCTGGGAAAACAAGAACAAAAATATCTATATAAACATGCATTCATTTTAAGCAATCTCATTTGGGATCTCAAAGCCATTATTAATTCTGTATGAATTCCAGCCCTCTTCCTCTCCCATAAATTGCTAGGATAAACATTAAATCCATTCTCCCTCCTTTGTACCACACTTGAAGTCTTGCTTTTGAATTGGGAGAAGGGAGACACAGAGGCCAGGAGAAGGGAATTCCCTTAATTTCCGACTCTCCCATAATATTTACTTTATTTTATTTTTTTTGAGACAGGGTCTCTGTTGCCCTGGCTAGAGTGCAGTGGCATCATTATAGTTCACTGTAACCTCAAACTCCTAGAGTCAAGCAATCCTCCTGCCTCTGCCTCAGCCTCTTGAATAGGTGGGACTACAAGTGCATGTGCCACCATGCCCATATAATTTTTCTCTTTTTTGTAGAGACAAGAGTCTTGCTATATTGCTCAGGGTGGTCTAGAACTCCTGGCCTCAAGCAATTCTCCTGCCTTGGCTTCCCAAAGTGCTAGGATTACAGGCATGAGCCACCACACCCAGGTCGGAGAAATTTTTATAGCCTCCTCCACTCTTCCCTTCAATGTTAAATAGTCTATCTCCTCCTTCCTGTTAAGTAATTCCTTCAAATGTGCCCTCCCTTTTCTCTCATTCAGCATATACTTACATAATTTATACTGACTCTTTCCACATCTTCAATCTTTTCTAGTTTTACAAAGAAAATATGTTAAAGCATCTAATGTATTTTTTCACTTTAACTACTTTCCCTTAACCATGCCAATCCCTGTTAAGTTGCTACAGTCTCCTTTCCTTTGAAGATTTCACAAGCATAGTGTAACTTTATCATCAAACATTTTATTCTCTAAACCGCTTAATCTGGCTTCTGTCCTTACCATTTAACTAAATGGGGCTCACCCTGAAGAATCCTGGGGAGCCTATTTGGCAAATATCTTACTGGATCCTCTCTAAATCAGGACACTATGGACTACTTACTCTTTCTTCAATTTCCCCTCTCCTGTTTAGCTTGATATCCTCTTAGATTTTCTCTTGACAGTTCATTCTCAGCCATAATTTTGCAGAATCTTCCCTCCTCTCCATTATATTCCTTCAGGATTCTGGTTTCTGCATTCTTCCCAATAAACATTTTCCCTTGACCTCAACTATTATCCTATTTTTCTACCAGAGACTGGATATTTAACTTTTATCTTTTCTCTCTTTGGTGCCAGGACTATATACATCTTCACTTCCATTCCCATAGGCCCTTCACTTCCTCCTCCTTACATGCTTCTAGTCCCAAAACAGTATCCTCAGCACTCCCTAATCTAGTCATCTAAACCAGGGGTCCTCAACCTTTTCAAACAGGGGGCCAGTTCACTGTCCCTCAGACAGTTGGAGAGCTGGACTATGGCTTAAAAAAAACTATGAACAAATTCCTATGCACACTGCACATACCTTATTTTGAAGTAAAAAAAACCAAATCGGCAAAAACACTCGCCCGTATGTGGCCCATGGACCACAGTTTGAGGACACCTGATCTAAACCAACACACTGGAGTCATCCTAGATTCTACTCCCCTCCTTCCTTTACCATCAACTTCCAATTGACCATCAACTTAACCTCCTAAAGTGCTATTAAACCCCATCTTTCATCTACACTACTTAAAAAACCTGCTATAAGGTCCTTGGTCCTTCCAATCTCATGCCAACACCTTAGAAAAGCCTTTTGTAACCTAGTTACCAATTCATAACTCCCCATTTTAACTCTCTTGCTTTATATATTTATTTTTTGTCTCAATAAAAATTTAAATTCAATAGAACAGAGACCTTGTTCACTGCTAAATTCCATGCCTGAGCCAATCAAGTTAGTTAATAGTAAAATTCTGAATGAATTTTTACAGTGAATTGGTCTCACTGCCCCAATCCAATCCCATCATTCACACTGTTTTAAAAAAAGAGGCATCTAAAATTTAAAATGATTTAATGGCTTCCCATCACTTCCCCAAGTTCAAGTTCTTTGGGACAATACTGGGGTTTTTTTGGTACCCATTTCCATTAAACTTTATGGGCCAGTAATACTGAAATACAATACTCAAAATGCTTGAAATGAAATTTCCTCTATGCCTCTGTATATACTATTCAAATTGCCTCACATGTTTTTCCCCTCTGCATGTTTGACAAAATTCTGCCTTTTAAAATCTTAAGTTATCAAATCCCTTCCCACATATACCCCACAAAGGATAAAAAGCCACTCTAATTATGTTTTCATATTTTACTTCCTCATGAAATACTGAACTCTTAGTTTTCTTTGTATCTTTGATACAAAGATAATAGTTTGAGACATAAATAGGTTGGAAAAAGATGTGAACAAAACTTCATATGGAAGGAGAAACTCATGTTAATTAAAAGCCTACCATGTACCTAGACCTAGCCCTACACTGTCACTCATACTTACTTCACACAACAATGTTGTGAAGTAACAATAATAGACAACACTTACATAGCACTTAGTATTAGTGTTTAGGCTGAATTTATTATAAACATTCTATGTGTGTTAAATCAATCATTTAATTCTCAACAACCTATATATTACTATCCATTTTACAGAGAAAACTGAGGCAGTCATTAAGATAAATGAAAACTGGTGCATATTACTTCCTTTAACATTCAACTTATCTTAAGACTGCTGTATCACTAAGAAAAGAAACACAGTTTTGCTAAGTATACAACATAAAACACTCTTCAAAAAATTAAAGGGGTTAGAATAAAAGGTCAAGTTTAAATAAGGTTTCATTATCTCTACTCTTCCTCAATCAAACTAAAATAAAAATTCTTTTAAGATCCCTGTGGTTGGTTAGTCAGTGAAATTACCTTTCTCTTTCTCCCTCTTCTGGCAGCTTTTGGGGTGGTTATGTCAATTGCTTTAGTCACATCCTAAAAAAAAAAAAAAAAAGAAACTGAAAAAACTATGCCAAGACTGAAAGAAACTTTCTTGAACTAAAAGTCAAAAGCACGGTTCACTAACAGTGCTGGGGAAATTTGATTTGCTTCTCTGATTTTGAAATTATAAACATTAAAAGCCTTTATAACATTATAAAGTAACAGCCAGTATCTTTGTCTGGGAAAAAGTGCATTTCCACTGTAAGATCAAATATAAAAGTCACTGCTTGCTAATACACCAGGAAGCTTGTCAATTTAAATATAAAACCACTTTTGCTACAGTAGAATCCTGGTTTTAGGGATGTGAATTTTAAAAGGGGGCTAGGACCTTGGAAATCATCTAACACCCATTTCATGAGGCCTATAAGGGCTAAATGAATAATCCTCACTCACAGATAATTATATAGAGTTGGAAATCAACATAGGATAAAAAAAATTCAGTCTAATGCCCTTTCCAGTACATCTATTCCACAATACCTTTCTTCAAAAAATACTCCTAATACTAACTCATCCTATAGTTGGACCTCATGTTTTAAACATAAAAATAACTTTAAATAAAAAAATCCATGCAGTTAAGTGCAGTGGCTTACACCTGTAATCCCAGCACTTTGGGAGGCTGAGACAAAAGGACTACTTGAGCTCAGGGGTTCAAGACCAGCCTGAGCAACATAGTGAGAGCCTTGTGTCTACAAAAAAAATTTTAAAAAATCAGCTGGACGTGGTGGCATGTGCCTGTAGTCCCAGCTACTTGGGAGGCTGAGCAAGAGGATTTGCTTGAGGCTGGACTGAGGTATGGCAGTGCCACTACCCTCCAGCCTGGGTGCCAGACCGAGATCCTGTCTCTCTCACACACACAGAAAGAATCCATGCATCTTAAAGATGCATAAATTGTTTTAAAATATGTATTTAATATTTACACAAGGAAATAAGCCTTAATTATTTTCTAATGCATTTTTAAGTACTTTAAAGATGACTTTCCATTTTGCCATGGTCAACTCATTTTATAATTATTTCCTTGCAACAAAATGGCTTTATAATACAAAGAAATGAAACATACCTCATTGCTGGCTTTTTCTTCATGGTCAGTATCTTCCTTTGAAACACTAGTTTCTTTTTCTTCAACTTCAACATCAGATGATGCATTTGACTGTTTAGTTGATGCCTGTGGGCAATCAACTCTATTAATTTAATAAAATGAGGCTTTACCCCAACTTTAAAATTTTCTACTCATGAAAAATTCAAAGCCTGTCTACAAGTTAGAACTTGTTTCTGTTCCACAGAACACTTTCAATATATACAATTTTAAAATAATTTTAAATGCTAGCATTTCTTTCGAAGTCTTATACAGGACTATATTCCTGTACTTCAGTGCATCCAAGTGAGGCAGAATGAGAGTATAACTACAAAGAATACTATCTTGATGCTCTAACCAACAAATATTCAACAAGACACAATGTAAGTTGATTTGACTTAGAATTGCACAGTCATATACTATATTCAAATACTGAAATTTTCTGGGGAGAGATGGTTATTCTACACACTCTAAGACAAACGGCCTTATTAGCAAAGAATATATCACAGCTTCATTTACAGACTGATTGATCTGTATCTCAAAGTCAGTTTATGTGCCACTGGGGACATGTCAGGGCCTGGCAATCAATACAGTACATCAAACCAGCACAATCATTTATATTTTTAGTAAGGGCATTACGTTATTTGGATTCATGCAAAAATTTCATTGTGAAATAAGAAATTCCAAGTCTATATGGTGAAAACTACCTGAAGATTAAGTGAGTAGATAGGAACAGGAATTGCCCTGTTGGGCAATTTGGAGGATGAAAAAGTCCATAAAAATACAATCACAGAAAAGATGATCCAAGAGAAATTACAAAATGTTAGTTTCAGAAATCAATCAATTCTGTCTCTTTAGAAAGACATCCTCCCATTACATAGTCAAGGCAATAATATGAAACCATGCATCCATTCCACAAATACTTAGTGAATATCTATTCTTCCCACACATATATGTGCTGGGTACACAGGACATACAACTTCTTTGTTCACAGAGCTAATATAATAGTCTGTGGAAGTTACAGACAAGTATAGAAGCAATTATTATATGGTATGATAAGTCCTATAAGAACTAAGTACTGGGCACTAATGAGGGCACTTATGATTATCTAATATAGCCCTAGAGCATCAATGAAAGATTTCCAGTATGTTGCTAAATCCTTCTTTAGATTTACTCATGCTCCTCCCAGTTTTTGTACCTCAACTGGTAGTAAGATAGGGTATCTACTGATGAATGACAACGTGTCCCAATAATATTTTCTTGAAGACCTCCTCTCATACTTCTTTGCTATTATAAAACCTGGTTTATTTTAAATAGTAAGAGTTCTGAGACATCCATATGGGAATATATACAGAGTTCAAGAGTGCAACTGGCAATATAGAAAAAATTTTCTAAATAACACCAATACTAGGACAGAGAAAAAATAAATTTCTGTTGTACGATAAAATGATACAAATTGGGTAAAGGCAAACCACTCCAAGAAAATTTAGTGTCACATATTAATTAACAAAAGCTCTGGACAGGTTAAAAAAAAGAAAGAAAAAACAGAAAGGCTGTTCTTCTAGACACCAATAAGTATCATTTGGATAGTGCTATAAAGTACCTTTGTCACATATGTAGTTTAACGCATGTGAGGTTCATATTCTAACACAATTCTAGGGATTTAGGAAGTAAAGAGAATTAGAAAACTTAAGGATATATACCCTGTTAAGTTAAAAAACTTGAATTTAGGAGAATAGTACATATAGCTTTAAATTCAATGATGTATTAAATAAACTCAATCAGGAGGAGTTAAATAACAGTATTTCCCAGTTTTCTGAGATCTGTTTAACCATGAAAGTAATAATTTTATCAATTCATCTACATATAAAAGGTCAAGATTCAACCTAAATAGGAAAATCGAATCTGAAATTTGCAAAGTTCTCAAATTAGTATTTATTTTCCTACAGCTAGGCTAGTGATTATCCCCCAAGATAGACTAAATAATACTAAAATAAATTTTATGTAATATGACTCACCTGTTGACTTGAAAACTTCACTTTTGGGTTGTTATCAATCTCCCATAAACCTTCATTAAAACCTTTTCGTTTATTTGGTTTGCCATACTTTTCCTTATTTTCTGAGTAAGGAAATATATCCTTTGGTCCTAAAAAAGCACTAAAAATGAAGAGGGGAGTTTGTGAGTACAAAACAACCTCAATGAAATATATTATAAGTTATGAAATAGCAGTACACTATGATGTAATCATCAAAAGTATATAATCTAAAGTGCATTATAAATCTTATATAAAAGGCACAAATACAATTATATTTAATCCCAAATACTTTTATTAAATTTGGTTAACAAGTTCCTAGATCCATAATCCTACTTAAATATACCCATAAAAGTTGCACAAAAATGTAAATGTACTTAACACCACTGAACACTGAAAAATGACTGGAACAGTAAATTTTGTTTTTTTTAACCACAATAAAAAAATACAAACAAAAAACTGACAATAGCATTAATCAGTACATTTAATTACACCCTCTATATAATTTCATTTCAAAAATGATACATTACATAATTCACAAAATTGTCAATAGCGTATATTATCTAAATACATATAAATTTTTTAAATGAGTAAATTTTAAAACTCAAAATATTGAATTTTATTTTATTCAATGAGGGAATCAGATGTTATAACCAGTTCATACATTTATATGGACACAGTCAATCCTTGGTATTCATGGTAGTTATGTTCTATTATAAAGTCACTGTGAAAACTGAATTATTGAATGCTAAACCACTGTTTCTAGGGGAAATACAAGGTTAGGTTCCTATAATCACAACTTCTGTAAACCAATCAATACATAAATTTTATGTGTTTCTGTTTAAAGATACCTTATTTAATATATAGGTAACTCATTAACATTGAACCATAGCCACAGCTTATGGAACACATACTTTCTCTGTAAAGCACATCAAAGCCTTCTTGCATTTAGGAACACTAAAAGCACTTTACCTCTATGCTTGGAGACTAGTTAAACATGTTAACTGCTATGTGAGTTGTGTTTAACTCACGCTAATTTTGAGCCCTGGGCCTCATGAAGCAAATGTAACTCTCATGTCTCATCATCTCAGGAGCTGTGTGAACTATTTTTCAAGTTGCATATAACTTGTGTGCAGAAAACAATAAAAAATAAAATTTTCATTAAATGTAGAAAGGATTGTTTTGTTTTCAAAGTTTTTATTCTGTTTTCATAATAAAACACTGTGGCCCCAAAGAAAAAAAATTTTTTTCTAACATGGCAATGTGCCATGTTTCTAACAGCAAAATGACCACACAAAAATGCAAAAACCCATGGCACTAAATAGACTGCAAAAAGGAAACTTGCTTACAGCATGAGTGCTGAACAAGAAGGTAAAGCATTCCCTTGTTCAACCTCAGCTAGGAACGTACCAGGTAACTCAAATTTTTTTCTACTCTGTGCATGTTTATGAATGATCTCAAAGACACTAAAAGTACGATTTGGGGTTACAAATAAATCTTAGTGAGTAGGCAAATTCACAAATACAGAACCCAGAAATGGCGGGGCATGGTGGCTCACGCCAATAATCCTAGCTGAGGCGGGCAGACTGCTTGAGGTCAGGAGTTCGAAACCAGCCTGAGCAAGAGCGAGACCTTGTCTCTACTATAAATAGAAAGAAATTAATTGACCGACTAATATATATAGAAAAAAATTAGCTGGGCATGGTGGCATATGCCTGTAGCCCCAGCTACTCAAGAGGCTGAGGCAGTAGGATTGCTTGAGCCCAGGAGTTTGAGGTTGCTGTGAGCTAGTCTGACACCACGGCACTCACTCTAGCCTGGACAACAAAGTGAGACTCTGTCTCAAAAAAAATAAAATAAAAAAATAATAATAAAAAAAAACACCCAGAAATAATGAGCCATCAACTGTTTGTTATGTACAGATATTCCTAAACTTATGATGGAGCTCATGGCCCAATAAACTTATTGTTAAGTTGAAAATGCATTTAAATACCCTGGAAAAATCACAAGTTGAATCACTGTAGGTCAAAGAATGTTTGTACATATGAATTCAGACAACATTCTCGAGGACAGACTCCTTACATCTGCCTCCTTATGGCTATCAGTTTTATAGAAGCTTATCAATTCTATAAAAGTACAAACAGTATATATGTATGCAAGAAATTTTTGCTATGATGGTTGGTAACAAGAAAACTGAATCGATACTCATTTCCCCTAAAATATACTAAAATTTTAAATTATTATAATTACATACATATCACACATTCCTTATATCCTAAAATTCTGTAAGAACTAGGGACCTAATGAGTATAGTTAACATTGTAGTTACAACATTTTTCAAAAAGGCTTTAAAATTTCAATTATAAGGATAATCAGAACTCTATTTAAATATAATCAAACATATAAATATCACCTTTATTATTTAAATTCTGTAACTCAGGAATACTCAAGTAATCCATGTATTTTAACTGCATATCCCAATTTCAAACAATATGATTATGCTAGAATTCAGGCACACTGATAATTTCCTTTATAAAGAAATTTACTTTGGGGTTAAACTGAAATCATCTCATTTAATCAAGAAATCAGGCTTTTACTAAGGCATCATTCATTCCTGCCTATAATCTCAAATTAGAAAAATTAACACGTTTAGTTAAAACCATACAACATTCCTATCTAACTGGTTTCAAATTCCAGGTAAATGACTTGAGTTAAAAACTTCCATCAAAATGTATCTCTAGTTAGAACAAACCAAGTCAATACAAATTCTCCTTCCTGAAACCACACAAAAACAATAGTAAAGGGATTATTTTAAACTCGTAAGACTAAAAAGACAAAATCCAGAAGCTGAAAAGACTGAAAAAGTTGGATCCTAAAAAAAGTATGCCATTTTTTTGCTAAAAAAAAAAAAAGAAACGTATTAAGAATAGTTTGAACAGTGCTTTCCTTCATCTGATGATATAACTTGATACAAAATAAGCATATTTTCTATGCCTTGGCAAATTGTCATACGCCCTTCTAAGTCTGAATCAGTTTCCAGCATTTTATCTGTGAAATATTTTTATTGTTTTTTGTTGGCATCACTTCCTCAGGGAAATCTTCATTCTTCCCACGACAACCACCTTCCTCATTTATGCTAATAAGCTTCTCTTCATTAATTTCCTCTGACTAGACATTTAGTGTCTTTGCAACTGCACACCATCTACATTCACAAGGTTAGCTATTTATTTTATTTTTTTCAGGCAGGGTCTTGCTCTGTTGCCTAGGCTAGAGTGCAGTGGCACAATCACAGCTCACTGCAGCATGAACTCCTGGGCTCAAGTAATCCTCCCTCCTCAGCCTCCTGAGTAGCCAGGACTACAAGTGCACACCACCACGTCCAGCTATTTTTTATTTTTGTACAGACAAGATCTCACTATGTTGCCCAGGCTAGTCTCAAACTCTGAGCCAAAGCGATCCTCTTACCTCTTCCTCTCAAAATACTGGGAGATTATAGGCATGAGCCACCTTACCCAGCCTATTTATTCTGTAATTTCATTTATATTCAATTAAAATTTCACTTCTAGCATTATTACTGTTTTGCTAAACTTTCATCTTTGGACAATTCCCTCTTTTATTTTGGTAAAATGTCATGCGGGTATTAGAAGACAGAAGACAAACTATACACACTGCTGTGTGCATGATCTAAGGAACATGCTTGCTGACTAATCACCAAGAAACTTTGAAAGGGACATGATATACATCTGTAATTTACCTCCTAATCTGTGTACTGAAGACCTAGCAGCAAATTTTGTAGTTTATGAAATCACAACAATATTGTCATTCCTGTTTTCTTTGTGACTGCATTATATTGTTACTTCGTCTTATTTTGTATGAGCCTTCTCTCACAAGCTAAGACACTGCAAGATTATTTATACAGTCTGCAAGTCTTAATAGAATTCTATCCATTCACAGAATGTAATCAACTTACATTTGGTCTTATTCACATCACCTCACTGTACATACACTATATTACAACTGGTTCATTTTTATCCTTAATTCTCCTAAATAGGTTTTCAAAAAAATTCTCCCCTTGTTCTTCCTCCCAGATTCAGATTTACAAGTTCTACTTTTCATTATTAATCATTTTGTTCATGTGAAAGTCACATAAATCCACATATCTTAATATACTCAAAATTAAATAACTATCCCCCTTCCAATTGAAAAGACCTTTAAAAATCTAAATTCATGTTAAGTATAGAAAATTTTATTAAAATTCACACATGAAAAGATGCTCAACATCATTAAGCTATCAGGGAGCTGTAAATCAAAACCACAAAATACTACCTCATCACCACTTAGTTGGCTATAATAAAAACAACAGGCAATAATGAATTGGCAAGGATGTGGAAAAACTGGAATCCTCATGCATTGCTGGTGGGAATGTAAAACAGTGCAGCTGATTTGGAAACAGTCTGGCAGTTTCTCTAGATTAAGCATAAAGTTACCATTTGACCCAGGTATTCTACTCCTTGAGAAATGAAAACATATGTTTACACAAAAACTTGGACACAAATGTTCACAGCAGCATTATTCATAACAGCCATAAGTGGAAACAACCCAAATGTCTATCAAGTGATAAATAAATACAATATGGTAGATCAAAACAATGGAATATTACTTGGCAATAAAAAGTAATGAAGTACTATCACGGCTACAGTAGGGATGAATCTTGAAAATATATGCTAAGTGAAAAAGGTCAGTCACTAAAGACTGTATGTTGTATGGTTCCATTTACATGAAATGACCAGAATAAGAAAGCAAATGAGTAGTTACCTAGACCAAGGTGGGAGGAAGAATTGGGAAGAAATGGGAAGTAACTGCTAATAGGTACAGAGTTTCTTTTTGGGGTAACAAAAATACTCTAAAATTGATTTTACAAATGGCTGTAGTACTCTCTGGATATGCTACAATCTATGAAATAATACACTTTAAATAGGTTAACTATGTGGGAAATGAATAAAGCTGTTAAAAATTTTTCAGAGAATATCATATCCTATCAAAGAAAATAAAATAATCCATAATTTCACCAACTGTAGTCATTAGTTTCAACCCAATTATCTGTATACATATAAATATGTAATTGCAATGTACATGATAATACTCATTCATAAGTAGACCTTTTCAAATGAAAATGAGTATCTACTTATGTCAATGATTACTTAACACCTACATATTATTTCACTCAATGGCTATACCAAAATTAGTCTATTGTTGGACTATTTTCTTTTTTTTTTTTTTTCCTCCAATTGGACTATTTTCTATGTCAAATTTTCTACTATAAAATCATGCTGCTGTAATAAACATAATGCTCAATCTTTACACCTATCTTCAAAATAAATTCTAAGAACAGCTGGATAAAAGGATATACTCCAGACCAATGAGCTCTTAAGACACAAAGATGGTGGTGGACAAAAAAAAAGAATCTTCCTTGGGCATGCAATTCCACAGGTTTGGTGAACAGGGCAAAGATTAGTTTTTAGACAGCAACTGCACTAGTTCCCAAAGGTACAACCTTACACGGCTATGGCTATGATTTATTTTTCAAAGCATTCCATTTTAAAATGACATATAAAAAATACTTTAATATGCACATAATAGCCTATAATTACAGACAACAGCAAACACCAAAAAATTATAAAAGCATGTCTGAAACAAAATGTATCATAACATTAATGCTCTGATTCATTCATTCATCATTTCATTCCAAAATAACATACCAAATGCTTAGTATACATGTATGTGTACACACACAGAGACCACCAGAACATAACTGCATGAAAGCAAATGCTTAAAAAATGCATAGATAAGTCTGAAAGAAAATACATCAAAATATTAACAAGTTTAAGGGTTGTTTCCCAAAAAATAGGAGTAAAAATGATTATTTCCTTTACAGAGAACTTTTTTGTTTTTAAAAATTTTAACAATGAAAAGATATATATTAATTGAAGGTAAGTTAGCCACCAAATTCTGGAGCTGAAAAGAAAATTACGGATCACCAAAAATGCTCATTTTAAATATTAGAAAACTGAGATCCAGAAAGATGAACTGACTCAGGCAAGGTCATCTACTAGCTATTAAACAGCAGAGCCTCAACTGTACAGTGTTCCTTAAAAAGATTTCACGGTCTCCTTTATCTACTATAATACAGTCTTTGAAACATTTCCTAATAAAGTATTAGGAAATACGCCACATTTCTATTTAAGCTCAGACCTCAAATACCAATATCAAAGCTCATAAGAATCAAGACTAATGTAAAACATCCTAAGAAAACAGCAAATTGTTAACTGAATTCAGTAATAGTTTTAAAATTTTGAAGCAACCTAAATCCTACAAGTGTGTCTCCCTACATGGCATATGCCTTAAGGCTGTAAGTGTGAACATATGTATACACCAATTTTCCTAAGACTTTACACAAAAAAGCAGTTATTTCTCTGAATTTACTTTTTTGTGAACAACGTCAGAAGAACAAACATACCCCTCACAAAAGCCTTGTTACCACACACCTAGAGAACTCTTCTTTTTAGAGCAAACCAGAAGTCACATACACAAAATAGGAAAGCCTACCAGAGCTGAATATATGAAATTCAAAACTCATTTAACTGTTGCCAAGTATTATTATTAAACAGAAAGTCCCATTCTAATTTGCTGGTTGATTTCTCCACTACTAAACCAGAAAGTATGAAATATACAGTTTATAAGTAGATTTTATATTATATAATAGCATGAATTATTGTATAATAGAAAAATGATTCAATAAACAATTGAATATGCATGTACTATATGCCATGAACCTGCGGTATGAAGAGATGAATAAAACACTTCATCTCATTTTTTGGTGTAAAACAACAGAAACCATACAAGTCCCATCCCAACACAACATGCAGCTATGGAAACTGTATAATAATGTGGAAGAAAAGAACTAGATGCTGGCTGACTAGATGTGAGTAAGAGGATAGACTGTAATATGTAATCAAGGTAATATGAAGACTTCTGGCTCCAGCAAACAATTGGGTCCATGTCATTCTCAGTAAAAATTGATTTGAATATGTTAGGTTTAAGATACCTAGTAGATGGTCACAGTTAGTATACATAAGCCTTCACTGTCTAATATTGAAAACCTGATTGCTGAACCAATTTACTATGAATGTCATAAGATGACAAGTAAAATCAGATGGTTTTGGTCAGAAAAAGAATGCAGTTTAAAAAAGATTCTGCTCTCAAATCACAATAAAAAAAATCTGCATCTATGAATCAGTTAGGAATTAGTACAGTTTTCCAAATCCCTATTGCTTTCTATATAATCTTCCTATCCCATCTCCCTAACTCCTAGCTGGTAGAATAAACTATTTATGCAAAATCCGAATTGAAAAGTTCAAATAACTACCCTTCCAAATTTTGAGGGGAGGAAAAGATTATCAGAGGTCCAGTTTCTAAAAATTAATCTTAAGTACATGAAAAAGTCACCATACCAAGACATATGACAGCACTACCTTTCCAAAGATAAATGGTGTACTTATAAGAATGCTTAGGCACAAAACACTACAAGAGCATTTTGAAATGAAAACTTAATATTATTAGCTTAACTTATAGTTAAATACATTTTAATTCCTTAGATATATTCTAATTTCTTGAATATTAGAAATTCATTGTCTTCATTAAGTACCTTCATACCCATTAACCAAAGAATGCTTAGGTTTAGTTATTTGGTATAACTTGATTTAAAATTTAGATATTTACAGTATGAAAATCCTCATTTTTATTTTGAGACAGAGTCTCACTTTGTTGCCCAGGCTACAGTGCGTGCCATGGCGTCAGCCTAGCTCACAGCAACCTCAAACTCCTAGAATCAAGCAATCCTTCTGCCTCAGCCTCCTGAGTAGCTGGGACTACAGGCATGTGCCACCATGCCCAGCTAATTTTCTTCTATTTATATTAGTTGGCCAATTAATTTCTTTCTATTTATAGTAAAGACAGGGTCTCACTCTTGCTCAAGCTGGTTTCGAACTCCTGACCTGCAGCAATCCACCTGCCTCAGCATCCCAGAGTGCTAGGATTACACGCGTGAGCCACCACGCCCACCCAATCCTCATTTTTTTAACGCTAGGGAAAGGTTGATAATTCCTCTTCTAAATTTAAAAAATTAAAAAAATGTAAGAATGGACTATGTGTTCTATAAAACTATAAGGATGTATGAAAGTATAAAACCTGTCCCATTTCAGAAATACCAGAATTTTACAGAATTTTAAACTTACAAAACTGAAAAATTCTAAAGAATATCTACTTTCATTACTCTGCAAAAGTATTTCCAAACTTCGCATCCAGAATCATCTGAAAGGCTTATTAAAACAGATTGCTGGGCCCAAAACCTCACAGCTTGATTCAGTAGGTCTGGGTCAGGGCCTAAGAACTTGCATTATTAACTGAAGTTCCAACATCATGCTGGTGCTGCTAGACCTGGCACCACACTTTGAAAACCCCTAGTCTAACACACAGTGCACTATTTTTCATTAAAAGATACCTTTCTCTTTAAATTTACTGAAGTGTTTCTTTAAATGGTAGCGTATGCAATGGAATCAGAAATTCACTTTTTTTAAAAAAGAGATGAAGTCTTGCTATGTTGCCTAGACTGGCCTCAAACTAACTCTTAGGCTCAAGCAATCCTCCTGCATCAGCCTTCCAAGTAAGGTGGGACTAGAGAAGCCCACCACCATGCCCAGCTTTTGCCAGCTTTTATCATTTCTTAAAACTATATTTTTATATAAAGCATATAAGTGAACCCAACTCTAATTATGATGAGATCAATCCAATTCTGGATCCAAAACTGTATTTAAAAAAAACTAATTATGAGATATTGTATAATACCATTAATATAAAATATCTAGAATTGGCAAATCTATACAGATAGTAGACTAGTGGTTGTGTGTGTGGTGGGGGGACATTGGAGAATAACTGCTAATAGATAGGACAGCAAATATACTAAAATATACTAAATTACACACTTTAAATGGTAAACTTCATGGTATGTCAATTTGACCTCAATAAACCTGTTAAAGAAATGTGAAAGTTTATACAGTAGCTAATCAACATGAAACCACATGTTCCCATTGTAGCCACTCTTAGGAATACAAATACTGTAGAATATCAACAGTTTTGTTTCTCCTCATCCCCAGTAAATAAGCCTACTCTACCAAAATTATTGCAGATTCTAAACTTCAAGTCTAAAATCAACCAGATTACACAGTACTTGTAAGGCTACTATTAAATTATAGGTATGCAGGAATACTGTTTCTGGAAATTAATGATGGCCCCCAGAGTAATCTCATGCACTCAGAAGTAACAGTTCAACATTCAGCTGCAATTTTTTACAAGTTTGCTTCACCAAATCAGTTCTCTGCCCACATATCCACCAGGGGTAGTAGAGCAGAATGGCTCTAGGGACCAAGTAAACACACACAGACGGAACTACCCAATAGATTTCTTCTTCTCACCTTTCTTACAATATGCAGTTCATATGGCTGATAATTACAAAGGCTTAAAATAGGGTGCCGGGTAGTCCTTATAAAAAGCACTTTATTTTCCTATTTAGTTGGCTAAATAGGAAATTTCCATCAGTCATTCTTATTGCTGAGAGAATTCACACCTTCCTTTTAAGGAAACACCTATTCCAATAAAAATTAAACCTACAATCCAAGTCACGGCACCAAAAAAAAAAAAAAAAATTAAACCTACAGTATCTTTAAATTCTACCTTAAAAATAAAAGGAGACTTGAAGACTTTTCCTAAAAGTCAAAGATTATTTTAAAGTCTTCTATTACTTTACTATTTCTCCCTTAATCTCTATTTGTTTCACATTTTATGGCCAATGACCTTGCTAAAATAACTGATTTGTCTTTAAAGCTAACAGGACTTACGTCTCATGAGTTCCAAAAAAGAAAATGGGTAGTTTGTTTGTGGGTGGCTTTACAGCTCCATCAGGAACTTCATCTACCTAAAAGAAAAATTTGAAAAATTAAAATCTTTTAAATCATACATATCTCAAAACACATGAATAAACTGAGAACAAGACATCCAAAAGGGATCTGTTATAAAATGGACCAGAACTGGGGATATAATTCCATATCCCCAGTTCTGAAACCCAAGAAGCTCCAAAAACCAAGATTTGTTTCAAAACTCATTTGGTGGCAAAACCTAGACAATGTCTGAGGGTGATTCAGGCATTTCTTTTACCCATCTAGTGTTTCTGCTGTTGCTTCTAAGCAGAAGTATTGCATTAAATTAACATGTGCTATCCTAGAACCTATTAGCAACAAAATATATGGCATATGTACTGTCATTTCCTTCCTAAAATCCCAAAATACTGAATTCTTAAACTTATCTGGCTCTAAGCATTTCAGACAAGGAGTCTGAACCTGTTTGACAATCCTAAATGATATTTCTGCAAGAAGACTATATACAAATAACAGAGTAATATAAAAACAGACATTAATAAGAATTTAAAGCAGTATCTCCCAAAGTTTGAAATACATTTTATGAAAAGATCCGTTACTTATACAGCTGAATTACATGAGGTTACCTATTCATTTTTCATTTCTATTCAATCCTTTTAATTATTTAAGGAAGAAAGTATCAGATGCTATTATGGCTAATATATCTGTAGTACCTGTTACTCTCCCTAATCAATAAAGGAAAAACAGACCTCAGGGCTAGAGTAGTACCTAGCCAGAATAGGAAAACATTTCTATTTTAAATTTCATAATTTCAAAAACATTAATTTAAAAAAGATCAGCTGATTTTGTTAAGAAGGAGGCTGACCGTCAGAGAATGTATACTATGAGGGGAAATAGACTGGTTTATTTGTGGGGAAGTCTGAAGGTTTTTACACACCAATAGAATCATTACCACTCAACCCCTCTAATTTTCTCACCTATATGATGAAGACTGTATTTGTCATTTCAGCTTTGTGGGAAGGCCCAAGAATTGCAAAGATCCTAAAGAGATAATTTCTGTAGCAGAAAGCAACTTTAAGAGTTTATGCAAATGCTTAGCATGGAGGGAGTTTAATAAATGTCAGGCAAATATTTTTAAAAGTGGATTTTAAGAATAATTATTACTGGTAAAGGATTACATACAAGAATGTGCAAGACTTAAAAATTAATGAAGTTTGGGACATGTAGACAGAAAATGTTAAAGCCAAAATGAAACAAGAGGTGTCACTTTTACAGCTGAGACCTTAAATACATACTCCTAAGATTTAGAATTGCTAAGATTGAAGATAGAAAAAGGAATATTAATTCTTGGACACAGAACATGTTGAAAGCAAATGCACCTGCTTCTAAGAAAAAATGAAGGGGAAAAGGAAAAAATTTTCCATTCCAATTCCAATGAACTTGTTAAATAAGGAAAATACTCTAGCCTTCCTAAAGCTACTTTATTTTACTTTTAAATAGCACTAACTCTTCTTAATCACTTACATACTGAAGGGTGTGAGGGGAGGGATTTGGGAGATTTTTAAAACATTTCCATTTGACTTTTAATGCATTGTGGCATGGAAATCTGAATATAGATGTATCAGACAATCTCAGATTTTCTAACACCTCAAAATAAACTACTACACCTTAAAAACCATGAAAAAGTATCTTAGAAGGGCCTTAAACTTGTTTGGTTTCTCTAGGCTCTAAACATGAAATGTATTTTGTAAGTGCATGATTATGTACTAAGGATTCAGTTTAAGGCCACTGTTCTCAAGAAGTTTACAATGTCTTTGGAAGTCAAAGCATACACAAAGGATTAAAATAAAAGATTATAATAAAAGGAAGAAATTAGAATGTGAAACATATAAACAAAAACTATGATTAATGATTGTTTAAGTGAGACTCCACTGAAAAGGCAAACTTGATACACTAGGAAAAAAATACTCTGGAAGAGTTGGATGGGAAAATTCAAGGAACAGTGATCATTTTGTACTTCAATAGAACTCTCAGTTTGCTCAGTCCATGATTCTATTACCAAATGGGTGATTGCCCCCATTCCTCTTCCCAGCTGACATTAACTAAAACAATAGCATTTTAATTGTTTTTAAGAAATACATTTTCAAAGAAGAGTAAATTAGTAGAAAATAAATGGCTTGGAAAAATAATTACAACTTTAGAATACCACGTAGGTACATTTGAAAAGGATCCTTAGTTTACCTAATCCAACAGATCTCAGCATATTTTAGGTCCTATCCATCACTGTTTTAGAGCTTGGGCCTGACCATAAACAAAAAGACCTCTTTTTCTGAAAATGAAGCTTAGATATTTAGACTGTCTCAATTCCTAAATATCTCAAAACATTCTGGGTCCTTAATCTCTTCTCAGTATCACTAAATGTGAACCCAGGAATCTGGTCCACCCCCCTCCCCTTTGCCTATGGGAAACAAAAAGATAAAACAACTTCTTCTCAAGGTCATTAACAAGAACAAAAACATGGAAATGAATTTTTTTTGGATCTTTATTGGTGCTAAATTGTAATACTTTCAAGAGTATCCAGTCCTGATAAACAAACAAACCCAGAAGGCCTCATCAGCTACAAAACATTTTTTTTAAAAACCCTGTAAATCCAATTTAATCAGATTCATGTATCTTTCTTTGACATCCAAGAGTTTGTGTGTAATCTGCATAGATTCCACTGATATTTCGCATTATATTCAAAATTAAGGAAATGTCAACGTTTCACTGATTTTTAAACATAAAATTTATTCTTCGTTACTTCACCTACAATGGAGTATTAACTAACATCGCATTTAAATGTCTCCTATGAAGAAAACCTGTCGAAGTCTGTCAAAAACAAGCCATAGGAAAATAGGTATGGAAAACACCTGGGTTTTTATAATTACACAGAAGATTCCTGGGCAAAAAACTAAAATGAAAGAAGGTCAGGTTACAAATGAGACTAAAGGAGAGAGGGAAAGAGAAAAGGACACCAAAAAAATTAAGAGAAATGGTAGGAGGCAGGAGGCCTCTGAGGAGGAAGGTAGCACCACCGCTAGACCCGAAGGCTACAAATCACTTACCCGAGCTGGCCAATGAGGATAACCTTTCATCTTGGCGAAGATGAGGTCTCCGGGTTTGAAATCGCGAGTCATGTTCCGGGGGGCGAGGCTGGGGTCCGAAGCCCAGGCGACGGCGAGGAGATGCGGCGGCGCCGGCGGCGAAGGGATGCGGGCGGGCGGACGCGAGCGGAGGCGCCCGAGCCGGCGGGCGGGGGAGGATGCCTGGGGTGTCCCGACGCGCCTGCGAGGGAGAGCGAGGAGGGCGGTTAAAGCGAAGAAACCCGGAGGGAGGGGCCGCACGGGGAGGGAGGGGGAGGGAGAGAGAGGGGGAGGAGGGAAGAGGAGGAGGGAGAGAGAAAGAGAGAGGAGGAGGGAGGGAGGGAGACCAGAGGAGGGGGAGGGCGGGCGCGGGGGGAGAGGGAGAGGAGGGCCGCCCGCCGCTCCTCCCCGCCGAGTGCGCGGCCTCCGCAGCCCAGGAGCTGCCCCTTCCAGGCTGGGGCAGGTCCGCCGCTCCGCCACCGAAAAGACGCCACCACCTGAGGCAGGGATGCTGCCCAGCCCTAAATCCGCCTTTCTCCCACCCCATCTTCCCTCGGGCTTTTTCCAGAGAGCTTAAACCCCAAAAAGGAGGGGGTGTAGGGGAGAGCAAAAGAGATGGATTAAGAAAGGCGAGCGTTCCCCCTCCACCCACACACGGCCTCCCCCACAACCTGCTTCTCGGCAGTCGCAGCCCGGGGCCGACCCTCGGCCCCCGGCGGGCCGCGTCCACTTGCCCGCTACAGCCAGGAGCGAGGCCACCGAGGGGGGGCGGGGCGAGTCCCCCCGCCCGCTCACCTGGCGGGGCCGCGGCCGCTGAGGCTGCGGTTGCTGGCCTGCCGCCTCTGCCCGCGTCCACGCAAACCACCTGCGCCACCAGCTGCCGCAGAGGCGTCTCAACCGCTCGGAATCGCAACCGCCACCGCCGCTGCCGCCGCCGTCGCTGCGCTGCTCCCGCGCGGCTCCCGCTCGGCGCCCGCTAGCACTGGGGCGGGACCAACTGCCCGCCCAGGCCGGGGAGATACCGCAGCACCCCCTTAAAGGATGTGGCTGCGGAGCGGAGCTTCGGAAAAGCCTCGACCCGCAAGTTCGCTTTTCCCTAATTAATGCATCCAGATGGAGAGAGAGACGCAAGCGAAGGGAAAGGGAGTGGGCAAAAATAGCTCGGCCTGCTGTGGCTTCCCCCCGCGGTTTGCGGAGTGGTCGGGCCCGGCCCGCCCCTGCTGGCTGCTCTGCGTGTGTGTATTTGTATGTGTACTGTATGTAAAAGGCGGGGAGGGAGGAAATGATTGTTGTGGACGCGGTTTGGGGGCGGGTATCCGGGCCTCTAGCTCTTGGCTGCGTGTTAAGGAGAAACTGGCAGCCTGAGCTGCATGTTCTTGCATCGTTTCCCAGGGTGGGGACGCTTTAATGCTGTTTTTTTCACGGTTTGCATCATCCAAAAAAGAGGAGCTGTACAAAAACCCGTAGATAAAATAGGAACATGAAGCGGTTGCAGGGTGTGCAGCCTGTAGGCCTCTTGCACCTCGCTAAATGTGCCTAGCAGTCTCCTTTTTTTTGAAATTGTAATACGAGAAAACCCGGTTTCATTTCTTTTACATTTAAAGCACCAAGAACTATTAAGAAAAATGCAATCCTAACGAATGCAAAATGTGAAGCATAGAAAACAATGACAGGAAAGCCAGAAGCCTCTTAGATAGGATGTGGGTTTAGGCCCTAACTAAATTTTAGTTGCATCTAAATTGTATTTCCCTAGTGGGATGGTAGCTGGTACAGTGTACAAGTGTTGCTAAATCGTAAATGTTTTATTTCTTAGAATAATCTTAGATTTTTAAGGATTATTTTTTGATCCTTTAGCCAATACATTCTTTAATGTGTTGGTAGTAATATGCCCAGCCTTCTGATGTGAATTGATACATGTTCTCTTAAACTGTACCAGAGCTATGTCACCAGAATTGTCTAATATTATTTATCCATTAACATTCACCCATGTTCCCAATAAATATGTAAGACCTTTTGTAAATTAACAAAAATTAAGTTTTAATTCTTCATCGAACCCCCCACACTACAAATAACCTACTGTGTGTTGAGCACTCTTAGGTGTTGGGCCTTGAGCAAGGACAGATACTTCCTATTAAAAACAGAGGCTGAAAATATTTTTTAAAACATAATATTGAAATATATAAATATTAGTACCTAGCTAATATTGCTTTAAATAAAGGACTCATAACTGGGAATAAATGAGGGAAAGCTTTATTGAGTATGCAAAAACTGAGAATTTTTTGAAAGAGGTACAGCATGCCTTTAAAAAGATATAAAAGGAGATATTCCCAATGTAAAATGTCCTGCAAGGAGTTTCAAGAAACTCAATCATACCTTGGAAATACGTGGAGGGTTCCAAGTGGAACAGAAAGAGAAACTGACAAATCAAGGGAGAAGGAAGAGTTTGTGAAATGTCTTGAAGCTTCTCATCCTGAACTTGAATTTGATATATGTACTAGGAAGCTACTATAGGTTGCTGAGCAATGTCAACCCAAAGAAAGGGGTAAAAATAACTTTTTTAAAAAGTTATTCTTTTTAAAAAAGACCATAACAAGAAGAGTCTAGAAGTAACTGTAGTACTCATGAAGTGACCCCTTTCTCTGTGAGACTGGTTACTGTGAAAAAGGAAAGGAAGAGCACAACTAAGCATTACACAAAGGAATAATTGTCAGGTGGTGGCTATAAATCATTCACAGGAAACGGCGGAGAAAGATATATTAAAGAAAAGTTCGAGATAACTGAGTAAGAGAGACCAACGCATCATCCAGCAATCATTTTTTTGTGTGCCGCCTTTGTTCTAAACCCTGTAAGGCCTTGCAACTCCAAATGTGCTCCAGGGCCCAGCAGTACTGGCTTCACCTGGGAGCTTGTTAGAAGCTCAGACCCCTCCCCTAAATCATAATCTACATTTTAATGAGATCCCCAGGTGATTCTTATGCATATTCAAGTTTGAGAAACTGCTGGAGAGGATACTACAGACGATCAGAACTTAAAATTGAGTAGGGAAAACAGACATATAATAGACAAATTATAATTGATGTTAAAGATAACTTTTTATTCGTGCTAAATATAGGACCAACACGTAAAGAGAGGTTGGTTACTGTGGGGTCTTCCAAAAAGAAACAATGGAAAATGTAAAAGCATTGATGTTTTAGTACTAGTATTTTTTAAAAGTAAGTATGATACTTAGTTCTTGCTCCCTTTAAGTTTTGGCAATTTCAATATGTAATAGTCTGTAGATAACAGACGATACTCTTAAAAACAATAAATCAGGACAAAACAGGTGGTAGTTTAAGCCTCCAGAGAACAAAAGCCCAGGATCCCTGGGAGCAGCAGTTTTGAATCTGAGAAGGGGGAGCAGTGGGGGAACCAAAGGTTGGGCACATCAGAGCCAGCTTTTCTGAACTACTATGAGCTGTGCTCCTCTCCAGCCATGCTTAATGCACCCCTCCCCCATAGTCAGCCCTCTTATTGGGGCTGCTCAGTAAAGTATAGCAAGACAGATCAATGGAGCAATAAGAACATTATAAGGAGAAAGAATATAATTTCCAAAACAACTGAAGCAAGGGGGAGGGGCAGGGAAACCTAAATGTGTTTAGGCAGGAACTTGATGTACAATCTCTCATTTAATGCAGGTGCTACTATCCCCATTTTACAGGTGAGAAAACAAGCTCACAGAAATTAAGCAATTTGCGCAAGATCAAGGAGCGGAGGCACCATTCCAGCCATTCTGTTCTGTAGCCCACGTCTTTTTGTGATCCCATATCGCCTCTAGGTGGGGCAGGGAGGCAGCAAGGCTGCAGGCAGAATGACTTATAATTAGAAAAAGATGCTGGGAGGAAAAGCAGCCCAGTCCTTTTCCACCTTCCGCCTTTGGACTTGAAAGTATTCCCAGCTTCAAATTTCCTAACAACCTCCCTCCACCCCACCCCGTTCCCCAGCTGGTCCCCAGCACTAGCCCATTCTGTTTAACTCCTTCTGGTCCTGAAGAACTCAACCCAAAAGTCACCTCTGGAAAGGCCCTGACGTCATCTTACAGTGGCATAATTCCTTATTTATAATACTACGAACTAGTCTTTAAACTACTTAGAGTTAGGCACTATCTTACTCATCAGTGCCTGCACTTTGTAGGTACTCAATAAAATTTTTTTTTTCAAAAAACATTTATTGAATGAATGAAAGCACTGACATTTTTCATTGACTACAAATATATCCATTTTCGCCGTTTTAATGAAAGTCTTTCTAAATGAGATTTGATACTCCAAAAAATTAGCAATGATAATCCCTTCCTTCATATCTTTTATATATTTCCCCACCTCAATACACAGTTTAAATACTTTAAACTTGGCAGTATGAACAGCAATTGTTAAACCGTTTTCTTACGTGTGGTATTTTAATACCACATGATGGAGAAATAGTGGGACGTTAGCAAGAATAGGGTGAAAATAAAGAGCATTAATCAAAGAACTAGTTCAGTCAGGGATGTCATAAATTTGGTCTAGGGCTAGGCCTTGCTTCCTGTGAAAATCAATAAGCATTCAGAGCCTTGGCCCTTAGGTGGGGAAAAACCAAGATGTACTAGCCTGTGAAACAGTGAACAGATACACAGCTGAGCTGATTTAATGGATAAAAGAGAGTTGTTGTCAGACACATGGGATAAAAGAAGCCTTAATGAGTCTGGGTGCTTATTAGAAAGGCTAGAAAGAAGGTAGGCAATGACAGGGATTGGCAGTTGACCTGTGAGTACTATGGGTGTCTATTGTGAAGGCTGCCTAGATTGTATACTGTTCCTGTGGAATTTTAAAAAATCACTAGATAACTTGATAACTTCTCACGTCATATACTTTTCTTACATCTCTGTGTCCAGTCTCAGTTAAGGCTTCTCTTATCCCACATGTCTATAACACACACACTCCTCTTTGATTCTTCTGTTTTTTACCTTTTTTCCCATCTTCATCTTATTATTCCTTTTTCTATATTCTTCTTCATTTTCATTTATGTTTTTACTCCCCAATTTGGTGTGCAAGAGGTGTAGCTTTGAAGCTGGAATGATCTCTTGTTCTGGTCAATAGGTTTGCCAACCTGATGATATCTTTTATTATCTTTGTACCTTTGGTTCTTCTAGGTCAACTTTCTCAGAGTGTTTTCTGAGAACAGTAGTATAGCTTGAGAAATTAAAAGGCATGAATTGGGGAGGGGAATTCTATATACAAGTGAGTTTGGAAAATGTCGAGTCAAAGTTACACACCTTTCTTTAAAGTAGGACATCTCAGAGCCATTAATATATTAATTTGCTTTGTGAATTTCTAAGAGGGATTTTTAGCCAACAGTCCAAAGTTATTTGATAATGGAATTCCCTCCTTTTTACATAGAAAACCCTTACCTAGTACCAGTGGTGGTAAATATTGTACTATGCAGCATTTTGGTAATGTGCTTTCATGTGGGTTCATTGATATGAAGGAGATATGAGGTTGAGCTCTAATACCCAAACATACCAGAGTATTTACTTTTAAATTTTTTAATTTAATATTTAGAAAAAGTAAAAGTCTCCTGCTAGCTATTCAATTACAGAGAAAAAACTAATAGTTAAAGCTTGAATGTGGCATAGGAAATGAGAGCACAGACTTTGGAGTCAAGCTTGGGTTCTAATCATTGCTCCATCACTTCCCACACATGTGATAACAGGCAAGTTCTTTAACTTCATTGTATTTATTTTCTTGTCAGTGAAATGCCAATAATGACATCTGCCTTAGAGAGCTATTGTGAATATTAAATTAGATCATAAATATATGTGTATTATAATGCCTGGCATAAACTTCTTGACTACATTTACAGCCTAGGGAAATAAAACCAATTGTTTTCCATATATGTATGGGGTTATACTATGACTTAGAGCAGGTGTTCTTAAACTATGGCCCGCGGGCCACATGCAGGTGTTTTTGCCTGTTTGTTTTTTTACTTCAAAATAAAATATGTGCAGTGTGTATAGGAATTTGTTCATAGTTTTTTTAAAACTATAGTCCGGCCCTCCAACAGTCTGAGGGACAGTGAACTGGCCCCCTGTTTAAAAAGTTTGAGGACCCCTGACTTAGAGTCTAAAATCCAAGCAGGTATAAAGGAGAAAGTTCAGTATCAAAACTTTACTTCTATGGACTGCTGAATAACAAATTACTGATTTGACTTTGCTGTTTGGGGAGGTTTTTTGTTTTCTCTTGTTGGGTGTTTTTTGTTTTGTTTTGTTTTTTTTTAAGATTTTATTTTTTGAGAGCAGTTTTAGATTCACAGCAAAATTGCGAAGATAGATAGGGCCGGGCTCAGCGGCTCACGTCTGTAATCCTAGCACTCTGGGAGGCCGAGGCAGGCAGCTTGTTTGAGCTCAGAAGTTCAAGACTAGCCTGAGCAAGAGCAAGACCCTGTCACTAAAAAAAAATTTGAGAAGAATGTACAGATACATCCTGTATACTTCCCTGCCTTCACACATGCATAGCCTCTGTCTTTATCAACACCCCCACCAGAGTGGTACATTTGTTGTGCTTTATGAATCTACATTGACACATCACCCAAAGTCCATAGTTTACATCAGGGGTCACTCTCAGTGTTGTATATTTTGTGGGTTTGGACAAAGTTATAATGACATGTATTCACCATTATTATATCATACAGAATAGTTTCACTGCCTAAAAATCCTCTGTGCTCAGTTTATTCATCCATCCTTCCACCAACCATTGGCAACCTCTGGTCGTTTTACTGTCTTCATAGTTTTTCCTTTTCCAGAATACCATGTAGTTGGAATCCTACAGTATGTAGGATTGGCTTCTGTTACTTAATAATCTGCATTTAAGTTTCCGCCATGTCTTTTTATCACTTGATAGCTCCTTTCTGTTTACTGTTGAATAATATTCCATTGTCTGGATATACTATAGTTTGTTTATGCATTCACCTACTGAAGGACTTCTTGGTTGCATCTAAGTTTTGGTGATTATCAATAAAACTGCTATAAACATCTCTGCACAGGTGTCTGTATAAACATAGTTTTCAACCCATTTGCATAAATATCAAGGACTGTGATTGCTAGTTCATATGATAAGAATATGTTTAGTTTTATAAGAAATTGCCAAACCATTTTCCAAAGTAGTTGTACCATTTTTTATTCCCACCAGCAATGAATGAGAGCTCCTGTTACTTCACATCCTCACCTATATTTGGTGTTCTCAGTGCTTTGGACTTTGGCCACTCTAATAAGGTATAGTGGTATCTCATAATTATTTTATTTTTTTAAACTTTTTTGATGTTAAGTCTCACAACTTGCAAGTGGGCTCTTCCACAGTAGTTAATAGATATCTGCTTAAGTGTGTTCTGTGTGTATTCTTCAGTAAAGAAAATATTTGTTAAGACTTATTATCCTAGACTAATATGGAAATCTGAGGTGGCTTTGGAAAAAAGTAGAGTTCAAAGTATTTAGAAAATACAAAGTAGTAACACTGAATTTTAAAAATTCCCATATCCAAAAATCATCTTGTTAAGAGTCAGGCATGGTGGCGTACACCTGTAGTCCCAGCTACTCAGGAGGCTGAGGCAGGGAGCCTAGAAGTTCTTTTCCAGCTTGGGCAACATGGTGAGACCCTGTCTCTAAAAAAACAGAGAGAAAGAGAAAAAAAATCATCCTGTTAAAATGTTTGTGAATTTTATTCCAGTCTTCATTTGTTTAGATTTTTAAAACAAAGTATTGTTTTTTAAATAACTTTCTGTTTTTGAATAATTTTAGACTTATAGAAAAGTTGACTAGATAGTACAGAGAGTTATTGCATGCCTTTTGCTACATTTTTCCTATTGTTAACATATTAGCATAGTACATGTGTCAAAATTAGGAAATTAACATTGGTTATATCACTGTTACCTAAACTACAGGGTGTATTTCTATTTCACCAATTTTCCCACTAATGTCCTTTTTTCCCCAGGATCCAGTCTAGGAAACCACATTACATTTTTGTCATAATGTCCTCCTCAGTCTCTTTTGATCTGTGGCAGTTTCTCAGTTTTCCCTTGTTTTCCATGACATCGCCAGACTTGTGAAGTTCTGGCCAAGTAAGTATGCTGTGGAATGCCCCCTAATCTGAGTTTGTCAGATGTTTTCCCCAAGATTACACTGGTGATACAGGATTTTGGAAAGAATACCACAAAGGTGAAGTGACCTTCTTGTCATATCATATCGGTACATGATATCAACATGACATCACTAGTGATATTAACCCTTATCATGTGGTTCAGGTGATGTCTGCTAGGTTTCTCCACCATAAAGTTACTGCTTTTTCCTTTTCCTACTCATTCTTTGGAAACAGTCACTAAGTCTAGCCCACTCCCAAAGGGGTGGTGGATACACAGAAATTAAGCTCTACCTCCCAGATAAGAGAGTATTTATATGTATATTTTGGAATTATTCTGTAAGAAAGATTTGTTTCTTCTCTCCTATTTATAAATATTGTTTTTAATAGCTATATTACTGGCTTTACTATGATTTGCTTAAATATTCTTCAAATGTTGCTCATTTAGGTGGTCCACAATTTTTTACTTAATTTGAGTGTTTTTTAATTTATAATCATATGATGGATTTTTTAAGCCTGCATTTTTATATTTTGTGTTTTAAAGACATTCTTTGCTCAAAAGAACATAGATTTTTTTTTTTTGAGACAGAGTTTCACTCTATTGCCCGGGCTAGAGTGCCGTGGCATCAGCCTAGCTCACAGTAACCTCAAACTCCTGCTCTCAAGCAATCCTACTGCCTCGGCCTCCCGAGTAGCTGGAACTATAGGCATGTGCCACCATGCCTGGATAATTTTTTCTATATATATTTTTAGTTGTCCGGCTCATTTATTTCTATTTTTAGTAGAAATGGGGTCTCGCTCTTGCTCAGGCTGCTCTTGAACTCCTGAGCTCAAATGATCCATCCGCCTCAGCCTCCCAGAGTGCTAGGATTACAGATATGAGCCATCATGCCCAGCCCAAAGAACATAGATTTATCATTTTAAAAAATCAGTACCTTTTGAGCATAGGCCTTCATATTTTATTTGTCTGAGAACTCCTTTATCTTCAAGATTTCAAAGTTGGAGTTTTGTGCTGTGGTCGTAATCTAGGCAACTCTCCACACTGTTCCAACCATTGAACCTTTTTTTCTCAGTCAACTTGACTTTGGTCATTTTTCCCTCCCACTTCCCTTGGCTTTAGTCCCATTCCAGCCTCACATGATGCCTGTGACAAGTCTTCACATGTTTTTTGCTGCTATAATTTCCCCTGCCACACATTTTAAGTTGAAATATTTCAACTTAATGTTTTCATTATTCCAAAGAATGCAGTTTCTAGCATATTACAGACATTTAAAAACAAAAATGTTACATGTGGTATAAATACAACAATTTGATAGCCACTGTTATTCATTTTCAAAAAATGTGAATAAAAATGCTTCGTTAGCATTTAAAATTTTTGCATATTTTTGCATATTTCTTTATTCTCCTCTTCCATTCTACTTGCCCTACAGAATTTTGTTTTAATGCAATACATTTTATATTTGAAAGTAATTTATTGATGAACCCATCATAGTTCTCTGCAACAGTAATATGTATATAAATTGAAACTGTAAAATGTGCTTTTTTCTTCTTGTGATTATAAGGCATAGATTGTTTTCCTCAGATGGGTTCTCATTTTAATAGTCATATATTATACAATTGGTCAAAACAACATATATAATATGCATTTTAATAAATTATCCATCATAAAAATCATATTAGAAATGCTTCTCTTAAGCAGATGAATCAATCAGATTGTTTCCAGGTATAATATTTAATGAAAGGGAAAGGTGGCCCGGGCCTGGTGGCTCACGTCTGTAACCCTAGCACTCTGGGAGGTGGAGGCGGGAGGATCACTTTAGCCCAGGAGTTTGAGGTTGCAGTGAGCTATGATGACACCACAGCACTCTAGCCTGGGCAGCTCAGGGAGACTCTGTCTCACAAAGAAGGGAAAGACGCATGTGGTAAATACAACTCAGTCTGGCAGTGAGCATATATTTTAATTTTTTCTTACTACGAAGTAGAAATTTTTAAATAGTTTATAGGATGATATTAACTGGAAAAAATATTATATGCTATGATAGGTTTTTGAAATATGATTTTAGAATAAGCTTGTCTATTCTAAAATATAGACATAAAAAAATGTCATAAAGAATATGACACCCATAAAAAATCTTGCCAGGATTTTTTTTCTCTTTTTTTCAATAGGCTGGAGGGCAGTGGCTATTCACAGGTGGACCCCACTGTTAGCAAGGGAGTTTTGACCTGTTCCCTTTCCAACCTGGGCCATTCACCTCTCCTTAGGTAACCTAGTGGTCGCCTGTTCCTGGAGGTCATCATATCAATGCATTTAGCATAGCACACTACAGCCCAGAAATCCTGGGTTCAAGTGATCCTTCTACCTCAACCTCTTGAGTAGCTGGCACTACAGACATGCACTAAAGACAATCCCAGTGTGCTGAGATTTTGATAAGAACTAAACTTATATGTCAATTTGAGGAAAATCGACATCTTCACTAGGTTGAGTATTCCAATCTACCAATACAATATGTCTCTCTATTAATTTAGTTCTTCTTTTAACCTTGATTAGCATTTTGTAGTTTTCAGCCTACAAATCCCATACATGTTTTGATTTATAGCTATTTCATTTTTTAGAGGGATTATAGTTTTAATTTCAGTGTTCATTGCTAGTACATAGAAATACAGCTGATTTTTGTATGTCTATCTTGTATCTCAAGACTTTGTTGAACTCACTAATTAGTTTTAGAAGGTTTTTCTTCTTTTTCTTTTTCCTTTCTTATTTTTTGTATGATAGATTCCTCGAGATCTCCTACATAAACAGTCATGTTATCTGTAAATAGAGACAAAGAATACACTCTGTCTGATTTCAATTCTTTTAAATTTTTTGAGGATTTTCATGGCCCAGGATATGGTCTACCTTGTATAAGTTCCATGGATGATTGAAGACTGTATATTCTGCTTTTGTTGGGTAGAATATTCAATAAATGTCAATTAGATACTGCTAGCTGATGCTGTTATTGAGTTTTTGTATGTTCTTCATTATTTTCTGTCTAGTTAATCTATCAATTGTTGAAAGAGAGGTACTGAAGTCTCTAACTATGTGGATTTATCTATTTCTCCTTTCAGTTCTATGAGTTTTTGCTTGTATATTTTGTAGCTCTTTTGTTTGGTGTATATACATTTAGGATTGCTATGTCTTTTTGATTGATGGACCCTTTTATTATTATATAATGTTTCTCTCTGTTTCTGGTATTTTCTTTTTCCTTCTGAAGTCTACTTTATCTGATATTAATAAAGCTACTCCTGCTTTCTGAATTTTCAGCTGTTTACTTTCAACTAACCTTTTTACTTTCAATATAACCTTTTTATATTTAAAGTATGTTACTTATAGATGGCAGATAGGATTTTGTTTAGTTTAGTTTTGTTTGTTTGTTTGTGAGACAGGGTCTATGTTACCCACACTGGACTGGAAATCCTGGGCTCAAGCTACCCCCTACCTCCTTCTGAGTCGGGTTATGCTTTTCATCTGTGGTGCCTATCTCTGGCTTTTAATGGGTGCATTTAGACTATTTATGTTTAATGTAATTATTGACATGTTAGGGCTTTATTCTGGTATTTATTTTTCATTTTCTGTTTGTTCCCTTTGTTTTTTGTTTATTTCTATTTTTCCTAACTTCCTGCAGGTTATTTGAACTTTTTGTTAGATTTCCATTATGATTTATCCATAGTGTTTTCAAGTATATTTCTTTGCATACATTTTTTAGTGGTTGCTCTAGGTATTATATTATACATGCATTATTTATCATAGCCTACTTCTGTTGACATTTACCAGTTTGAGTGAAGTACAGAAAACTTGCCTCCTTTTAAGTCCCTTTACCTTCCTCTATTTATAATTGTCTTACATATTTCCCTTACATACATCAAGAACCACATCAGACAGGGTTAAAATTTTTGCTTCAACTGTCAAACATAATTTAGAAAACTCAAGGGGAGAAGTAAAGTCTATTATATTTACCTATATTTTTACTCTTTCCATTATTATGTCTTCCTTCCTGATGTTTCAAGTTTCCTTTTCTATCATTTTCTTTCTGTTGTGAGAACTTCCTTTAGCCATTCTTTTAGGGTAGGTCTGCTAGCAATACATTCTCTTAGTTTTCTTTCATTTGAGAATATCTTGATTTCCCCTCTTTATTCATGAAGGACATTTTCATGGGATATAGGATCCTGAGTTGGCAGGTCTTTCTTTCAGTACTTGGAAATTGTTTTTTTGTTTTTGTTTTTAATTTTTTAACTGAATTGTTATACTACCTCCTTCTGACCTATGTGGTTTCTGATAAGAAATTGGCTGTCATTAGAATTGTTTTTTTTTCTTCATAGATAAGGTGTCATTTTTCTTTTACTGCTTTCAAGATTTTTTTCTTTGTCTTTAGTTTTTAGAAGTTTGACTATGATGGCCACTTTAAAATACTGCCAGATAATTCCAAAATTTGTGTCATCTGGGTGTTGGCATCGGCTAGTTGTCTTTTCTCATTAAGGTTGAGATGTTCCTGGTTCTTGGTATGACTAGTGATTTTCAATTATATCCTAAACATTTTTGGTGTTATGTTATAAGACTGTGGATCTTATTTATATGTTAGCAGGCTTTGTCTGACACTGCATTAGTGAGGGGAGAAGAGTGCTGCCTCATTACTACCAGGTGGAGGTAGAAACTCAGGTTCCGCACTTGATCACTTCCCTGGCATAGAGAGCCAAGGGCTGCCTTGATGCCTTGTTACTGCTGAGTGGGGATGGGAATTTAGGCTCTCCGTCAGGACTCTGCTGACACCACCTTGGCTGGGAAGGAGAAGAATGTCTCATTACTAATCCTATCTGCTGTCCACCAACTGTTGGTTGTAGGAATTATTGTTAGGAATAAAACTCCAGGCTATCCATGGAGCATTCTCTGATACCACCACAGCAGAGGCAGGAGGTGGGATGCCTTTGTTAAAGCCAGATGAGGGCTTCAACCATCAAACATAATTTAGAAAACTCAAGAGGAGAAGTATATTGTATTTACCCATATTTTTTTTTACTCTTTCCATTGTTTTTCTTCCTTCCTAATGCTCCCAGTTTCCTTCTTTTATCATAGTGATAAGGCCAAAGTTTTTTCTAAGGTGTTTGATTAGAGTAGGACAACAATTGTCTAAAATTTTTTTGTCTTGTTAGACTGTCCCTTTCCTGGTCCATTGGCTAGACTCAGCAGCGGTCCCCAGCCTTTTGGCACCAGTGACTGGTTTCCACAGAAGACAGTTTTTCCACAGAAGTTGGGGGCAGGGGCGCAGCACAGGGCTAAAGGGAGCAAGCTTTTCTCAGGGATTCTTTTGTTTGTGCCTGATGGTATTTCCAGTTGCTAGTTTTCCCAGCACCCAGTCTGAGATGTATAAAGCAAAAAGAAAACCCAGCAGGGAACTAACTACCTCACCATTTCTTGGGTCCCAAGATCCCTAGCTGGTCTGTCTTCTCTCCACCTTTCAGAGACTTCTTATGTTCATTTTATTTATAATGTCCAGTGGATATTTTCCTCCTTCCTTTTGTCACCAAGCTTCTAGGGGGAAAATAGTTTACATTCTGTGCCTCCAACTTCATTATTCATATCTTCTTCACCTTCACCTCCAAGGGAATTTAATTCCATGAGGGCAGGGACTCTGTTTATGACTATATTCCAAAGATACAGTGCCTGGCACATAAAATACCTTTGGTAAATATTTCCTGTCACTATGTCATCTTGGTAACTTTCTTTTCTTTATATTCTCAATGGATTACCTGAGTATAAGAACTCATTACCTCATGCAGGAATTAAGATATTGGTTTTGTTTTATGCTTTTCTTCCTGTGCCTTTCTTTATACTATTATCTCTACCTAAAATGCCCTTCATCACTTCCTGCTTATCCATTTTTTTTCTTTCTCTTGAAGGTCCAAACCTATCACACCTCTTATGTCACCTCTTCTAAGCTTCATCATCCTATTCTGAAAGCCTATATTCACTACTTTCTGTAGTACTCATTTAAAAATAAACATATTGTCTCAGTTAAAAATGCTTTCAGCTATAATTAACAGAAAACTCTGTTATAGTGGCTTATGCAAAAGACATTAAGAGATGGACAGATGGCATTGCAGCTGGATGACTTGAGGGCCAGTATCTTTTTAATTCACTTGACCTAGTCCTCATACTGACTGGGCTATTCATGAACGGAGCATGACTGCTCTTTTCAGAACCACATCTGAATTTCAAGTAGGAAGAAAGGGCATAGGATGAAACAATAGTCTTACCAGGTCCATCTCTTTTTATTTGGAAAGTAGAAGCTCTCCCAGAAGTCTCACCTGGCAGACTTCTTATTATGTCTCTCTGGACAGAATTCCATGACATGGCTACTTCTAGTTGTAAAGTACAAGTGAGAAAGGGGTTGTGAACAGGAATTTAGTTATCCAAACAATGATTTCTGCCATATATATGTATAGATATATAATTCATTTGGATAAATCTTCTGTCTCCTTAATTAGTTTAGAAGATCTTTGAGATCAGAGATATAATCAGAGTTAGTCATTTCATGCTTCACACAGACAATTGTAAGGGTTCTCCTAATTTCATGTTTTTCTGTTAGGAACAACAACTAGAATTCTTAAAATGAGACTTTAAACCAAAAATAATTATTTGAGAATGATTCAGTGATGGTCACATGGTGGCTCATGCCTGTAATTCCAGCACTTTGGGAGGCTGAGGTGAGAGGATTGCTTGAGGCTAGAGTTCAACACCAGTTTAGGCAACATAGCCCAGATTAGCAAGATTCTGTCTCTACAAAAAAAAAAAAAAAAAAAAAAAAAAAAAATGATTCAGTGAACTCAGTTTCTTTTTTCTCAGTTAGGGAAGCAGAACCACTATGAGTTATGGAATAAGGATTTCTTTTTCCTTTTCTCTCTTTCTTTTTTAATAGGATTAAATTGTGTAAGTAGATCTTACATAATTATGGGAAGAAGTGTAGAAGTGAAGGTCCAAGAGGTATGTTAGAAGAGAAGTAGTAATTATTTAATAACAAGTCTATCTGAGAAGCCACCTAAAATACAGCTGCCAAAATGGACCATAGAAAAGGCTATGGGAAGATCTATGGGAAACTCTGCTTTTGTTCAGCTGCTACGTCTGTGGGTCAGCTGCCAAGCATCTGGCACTGGACCTGGGACTATGGGTGGTCAGTAGGGTCAGGAATTTGGAAGAGCCAGATGTGGATTGGAAAAGAATGAGGATGAGCTGGAAGCTGCTCTTCCTGCATCTAACCACAATGACTTTCAGAGACTAATGGCTGCTGCTTCACTTTCACCTTCCAAATCTCACTCAGATTTGTCTTTTGGCCAACTCTAATTTGGAATCCTACAGGGAAGAATTTTGGAAATGTAATCCAGCTTAATCAAGTTGATATAGAACAAATCACTGCACTACGTAAACTATACAAATGGAAGTCAAATCCCTAATCACCGGGAGTTAAAATAGTTGTATTGCCTAGAAGGCTGGGACTGTGTCTTAGTTCATTTCTTCTCTCCTTTTTGTCCTTGCCAATAATTTGATTCTTAGATCTCAAGTTGTCCTTATTAATCTCACTGTACAAACCTAGTTTTCCTCTGCTGTGGTATCTATCTCCTCAAGGGAAAAAGCAGTACTTTCTTTGGATTCATGCTACCAGGCAAGTTTGTCTCTTAACTCTTACTGGTTTCTTTTTGTGTGTGTTTGTGTGTGTATGTGTTCTTATATTTCTTCTTATATTTCTGTTGGCTTTCCTCTCCTGTTTCTCTCTTCTGGGTGCAATTCTTCTATTTTCTCTAGTACATCCAGCATATTCTCTCCTGCCTAAGCATGTTTATGAACCATTATTCTAGATAGTAATTTATCTTTGGGTAATGTAGTTTTCCAATCTTT